CACAAGCCACCATCCATCCCAGTGGTCTGTCTATGCGTAAGTCTGGGGAGGGTTTTTCTAGCAACTTCATTTGCCGCTACTGAAAGGGACCACGGGGCTGTGTGCCTCCCACTCCTCAGTGGTCATACAAGGCCAGCTACTGCTGCTGCCTTGGGACCGCCAGCAAGCACACCGCAGGGGAGGCAGGGGATCAGTTAAATGGGCATCGCAACAACAACAAATATCGTGGTGTTCATCAGAGCATCACATCCGGGACAGAAGAGGCTCCTGCAGGGATAACGCTGGGAAGCCTGCAGCAGGGTCGCTGAGATCAACACACTTAGGTGTGGCCAACCTCACATAACCCCCGCCTGTCTGGGCCACAGGTAAACCTGCCTCTGACCTTGACTACGAAGGGACACGTGCCCTCAGACCCAGGGCTCTGGAAGATGGAACACCTGAGGCTCCCTCTTCCACGCTACCCTGTTTCAGTTAATTTTCTTTTACCCCCATTCCTCACTCCCATCCCCCGATCCCCACAGGCAACCCTTTTAAGGCGCAACTATACACAGTTTTGCAAATGTTGTCTTGTTTCTTGTGCGTATTTATCCTTAGTGTATATAAAAGATACTGTTGCAACTATTTCTTTCTTTCTTCACTCAGCTAATTTTAAGGTCCATGTTGATGTGTTGTCTCTGGCTGGAAACCGGCTCCGTAGTACTCTGTCGTAGGTGTCAGCCTCGGACCTTCCCCTGAACGTTCCACCCCCCACCCATCACTGCTACCGCTCCCACCACATTCGCACCCTCACACATGCCTGCTTGCAGACCCAGGCAATCATTTGGTTGGGAACATTCACCCAGACGTGTAATTTCTGGACTGTGGGACATGCGTAGACTTCATTTAATGAGCGGTGCCCCATGGTTTTCCACCAACACTGCACTGAGTCCCCACATCTCTGCCGACACCTGGCAAGACCCGCCTTTGCAATTTTTGCTAATCTGGCGCTGACAAGTGCAAAGCGTTCTCTAATTGTTCCTTTAGTTTTCTTTCCTCTGATGCCCGAGTTTGAACAGCTCCTCACACACGTGGTAGACTCTGGGGTCTGCTTCTATAAACTGCTCATTCCCTTTACCCATTTCTTTCTACTGGGCTTGTCTTTCTATTGTTGATCTGTAGGAGCTCCTTGTATATTCTTGGAAGCTAATCCTTTCGTTTCAACCACTGCACACACCTTCTCTCAGCTCCCACACCTACAGGTAAGCCTCTTGCCAACCACAAAAACAAATTAAGCAGACTAAGATACAACAGAAGGTGGGTAATGGACAGGAAATGAAGTGGGAAGCAAACTGTCCAGGTGAGTTTAAAGTGAACAGTATTAAAATGAGAAAAATAATGGAAGAAAATATTTACAGGACAAAACCGAAAACCTAACTGAGATTCCTTCTTGTGCCTGAAAGTACAAAATAAAAGCTAGAAACAAATCAGTAAAACATAAAAGATCAAGAAGTTAAAATCAGGATTAAGGTAAAAACACTTTTTTAAAAATATTTTATTTATTTATTTGACAGAGAGATCACAAGTAGGCAGAGAGGCGGGGTGGGGGGAAGGAGGCTCCCTGCCGAGCAGACAGCCCAATGGGGGACTCGATCCCAGGACCCTGAGATCATGACCTGAGCCGAAGGCAGAGGCTTAACCCACTGAGCCACCCAGGCACCCCAAGGTAAAAACACTTCTTAAAAAGAGTATGAAAATAAAGCAGATCCAACATGTGTGTATTCTTTTTCCAATTTCATGGTAAAAAGGGGGGAAAATGCAGAAGTCAGAGAGGTAGAGATCGAAAGGACAAAGCACAGGCACAAGGGGAAACAATGCAACAAGAGCTGAGAGCAAGCCCAGTAACGCCAGATCCTAAGACAACCTCACTGGACTCCAAAACAGAAAGAAGCAGGAACTAAAGAAAAGGCTAAAATAAGCCAGCTAAAGGCAGACTGCAAAGTCCATAGCCAATCCTGCCCTTAGTGCCGCTGGGGTCCAGAGATAAGGGCAGGAGGCAGGCAACCTGAGCTACTTTTAGATCATGTAAATGTCCGTCCCATGAGTCTGGGGCCAGTGAGGAGCCTGGCCTGGACATCCGCATTCAGAGCCACTGTCCGGGCCACGGTCAGTGGACCAGCCCTGGGCAGAGCCACACCGGGCCTTTGCCAAGCTCTGGAGATTCTGGGGCACCACCGCCGGGCCCCTGCCACCACACTGACTCCCTCGTGAACATCCCGGCCCCGCTGGCTTGCTCACTGCCTTCCGTAGAACCCAGGTGGGGGCCGAGGCCACGTCTGGCCCGGGGCCTGGGAAAAGTGCTGCCCTGGGAGCTCCTCTTCAAGCCTGTTTGAACAAGCTCAGTACCACCCAAGAGGGCACAGGGTAACAGCTCCATCATCCACCAGCTAGCGGACCGTCACCCTGGCTTGCCGTAGGGAGCAATGACCACAAGGACACAGGGGCAAGCCCTGCCGTGCACACTCCCGACTACTCACCCCAAGTGGCCAGCTGTATGTACACGAAACGACTGAATTGGCTATTTCCAGGTTCAATGACAGAAAGATGAAACTGACAGGGAATCCAGAGTTCCACACCCTGTTTCAGCATGGGTTGGAAGGCTGAGGAAAAATCCAGATGAGTCACTGGAGAGTGGAAAATATCTGATCTTATCTAAAGGTGAGGTAAGGGATGTGGGGGCTGAGTCCCGCTAACTTGAATCCTTCCAACTACGTAAATGCGGGTAGTCTCCCAGCTGTTGCAGAGTTCACTAGAAAGTCAGCTGCTTGGCAAGGCAGATGCACACGGCCCCCCCACCTCACTGGGAGCTGTGCTGCGTGGTGCTCCTGTCACAAGCAGGGCCCCAGTCTGTGTGGCCCACAACACGGAGGGCTCCCCGCCTTGGTGATTTTGTCAACGGGTTTTCATCATTTTTGTTTTGGGTTAGTTTTAATGGAGAGACTGTTATGGGATTGTTGGAATTCTATTTTTCCAGGGAGAACATTTCCAAGGTACCACCTAATTATCATTACCATTTTCTAAAAGAAAGAACGTTTAGCACCAGGGAAGAAAAAAAAAAAAAAAAAACTAAACTCAAGGAAAGACTTTGACAGTCTAACTTAAGCTTTCCAAAATGCTCACTACTATAGGTTCCTCATCTTGGAAGGGCAGTCAGGTAAGCTGTGGTGCGCCCCACCACCACCACATGACCCCCATGAACTCACTGACCAGCCCATCAGCACTGGGCCCTGCAAAGCACAGATGAGAACAGGCTAGAAGGCGAGAGGACCCTAGACTGAGGGAAAGTGGCACCCAGCACATGCAGTGCTAACATGGGACCTCAACAGAGGAGCACAGAGCTGGGGTCCATGCATCCCATCAAGTTCACAGCCAAAGGGAAACGTTCAGCAGGGACAGGACAGAGGGAGAATATGAGCACGATCTACATCCACTAGGAAAGGGTCTTGTTGTGGGGAAGCCTCTTCTGGGTGCTGCTCTGGCCTCCAACCACCACCTTGGCCTCTGCAGTCCCTCCTGCTGGGTGGTTCTTGTCTACCTGTGCGGTCACATGTCACCAGCAGACAGGCTGGGCGCCCCAGCATTTACTGACGGTCTGAGTGGGCAGCACTGGCCCACCCTTGGGAGACCAGCTACAGGAAAGAGCTACTGGCAGAGAAAGTTCCATCTCGGACCTGCAGGACACCACCACCTTCCCCTCCCCCGTGCTTTCACACCAGCTCCTCTCCACCCTCCTACCGGAGCACCTGGCTTCAAACGAAGGCACCCCAATGCTGTCGGAGTTTCACTAAAAATACCTGAAAACCAACAAGGAGCCTGAGGCAAGTGGTCTGGCGGAGCTCTGCAGGGAGAGTCTGGGGAGCCAGGCAATCCGGCCATGCGGAACCAGGCCGGGACGTGGCTGGCTGACGAGGCTGTGCGCTTGTTCACACAGGAAGGGGGCCTCAGCCAGGCCGGGGCTGCGAGGCTGCAGCCTCTGAGTGAAGACCACTTTCCACCCAGAAGGGCTGCCCGCAGGAGGTGGAGGTGCTGGGGCCAATGCGCCGGGGCCAACGTGCCGGGCGGGATCCAGGCTCTGGGGCAGAGGTGACACCGAGCTCCCTCCTGTCCGCGCGCAGCCCCCGTCGCCCAGCACCAGCTGTTCGCTCTCCCCTTTGGGATCTCCAGTCTCGCAGAGGGTGTGGACCCCGTACCTTTTCCTTCTCCCACTCCCACAGCAGCTTGTCACGATCAGCCCTGGTTCTAAATTCACACTTTACGAAAGTAAGTGTTTCTGACCTCTCTACGGCAAGATCCCAATCAGAAACCGGCAAAAATTAGCACCTCTTTAGGCCTTTATTTAAACGACATCCCATGGTTTGCTCCATGAGCTCCCAGGGGCGGGCGGGCGGCGCTGATCTTGTCCGCGGAGCCTGAAAAGCTGCCGCGGTGCCGGGACATGAGGCTTCTTAGCCAACGTCAGGCCCTCTCGCAGAAGAAGTCACTGGGCCATCTTCAAACACAGACCACGAGTACCACGGGTGGGAGGGAACACATTTACTTGAGGTACAAAGGTTTACTATTATTAACAAGTTATCACTATTATTTACAGGTTTACAAAATGGAAATAAAAATGACTACGTTTGGTGCCAAAAGTGGCACATCCGAACTAAGATCAGTACAAAAATAAAGTTTCAAGCCACATGTTTTTGAAATAAAGCTCACTGAAACAGGGGAGAAACCTGCATCTGTCATGTGTTGAAATGCAAATATCATCCCCACGAGGACACCTGGGGGCAACGATGGAACCAGTGCCTGCTGAGAGGGCGCCTGGGTTCTCGCTGAACCCAAGCAAAGAAACAAAAAATAGACAAGTTATGTTCCTGAGCTACAGAAGCTTAGAGCTTCTAAACTTGTGAATCCCTGCGGCAGAAGGCTCCCGCCGGGGGTGAGCAGAGCTCACCAGCATTCAGCTAGTGGCAGCGTTGGGATGCGGTGTCATATGCGGAGAAAGCAAAGCCCGCTTGTGAGACAGAAATCCTTCGCTAACCGAGAACAGTGCACACGAGTCCCGCCTGTCGGTCACCAAACCTTGTGAGTCTCCTGCTCATTCCACCCGGCAGCAGGGCTGGGGCCCCACCAGGTGAGCGAAGGCAGCCCCGCACAGCCCCCGCACACCCCGCACAGCGCTCTAGGCCGCAGCGGCCAGCCTTCCTTCCCGTGCCCCACAAAGCTGGGCCAGAACCGAGCGCCGGGCAGAAGTGGCATGCTGGGTCGGCAGGAGCGCTGCATGAACAGACAGCACGGCCCTGCCTATCCCCGCTCTGCCTGGGTGCAGCGCGGCGGGGGGGCCTGCCCCTGTGCAGTCTCCCTGGTCTCCCAGCAAGGAGCGCAGATGCCGAGGGGAGCGAGAAGAAAAGGGCTAACGAGCGGGCTGCGGCCCACTTCAGAGCAGCGTGAGACTCCACGTGAGCCGGGGCCAGCTCGCCACCCAGGGCCGGGGGACCACAGTGTGGAGGAGATGGTGTCAAGTCCCCTGTGGCGGCAGCCGAGCTCTGCTCACTGGTCCTGGACCTTGGCCCTTTTGGCTTTGAGGGACAGGTGCTGCAAGAGAAGAGAAACCATCAGCATTAGGGTCACTCAGACAGACTGGACTTCAGCAGGACCCCCACATCAATGACCACGCCAGCACAGCCCTCTGGTTCGCATATTGTCGGCAGATGCCGTGCCCCCCAGAAAGCAATGTGGAGGGGAAAAGCCCAAGTAACCAACAGAGACAATGGGCCTTTGGTAAGGCCCAGCAGCTCAAGGCCTAGCCCGGCATGGCCGACCCTGGTCACCCAGGGCTCTGTGGGAAGGTGTCGGTGGGACACACTCTCCTTCTGCCCCAGCCCCTAGGACAGCATCACAGCCAAACCCCTGAGCTCAGGGGACTAGGCTCAGATTGGACGGCACCTCATGTTTCTATGAATTTCTTGCAAATGGTCAAGGAAATGGTACCCTCCCCATAGGAACAAGGAGACCCATCATTTCACCAAGCACCTCCGTGTGCAGGCACATGTGCTCGGGGCCCTGGTCCCCAGAGACCGCTGGCAAATGCACACGAGGGAAGACACAAAGGAAAAGAACATGTCCTAGTGCCACCCTTTCCCTTCAGAAACATCACTTCCCCCCCAGTATAAAGAACACAGGATGCATAACGTTATAATCATGGGCATCAGATAATAGCCATTTGGGGATACAAATATACTTTATGTTTTAAAATAATCCCAGAAGTGCTAGTAATCCTAAAGCACAAGTTTAAGGCAGAGTATGCAAACAGAAGCTTTTAATAACGGACTTCTGTTCACTGACTAAGGTATCCCGAGTACCCTCTCATAATCCTAAGCAAACAACCAAGAGATACCCTAGCATGCAGTGGAATGTCACATGAGGGCCTCCCAAGCTGACTGCTGGTCCCTAACATGCTCGGTGCCCAAAACCTGCACACCCACATGGGCTGAGACAGCAAGGCCACTGCTGATGGGGAACCATGGGCCCTGGAAGGACGCAGGGTGCAGGAGACATAACACACTGTCCAGAACCTGTACCCACTGACAGAGGGAATGGGACAGATGTCTCAATAAGCTGCTGGAAGTCCCTTTCTAACCACGTGTGGGGGAGAAACAACCAGTACAGTTTCTTGCAAAGGCCCCAGTTAAGAGGGTTTTGTCTAGATCCCAAGGACACCTCTGAGAATCAGGACACAAAATTAAGGACTGGAAGGCAACTCCCTGAGCAGGCCACCCTGTTCCCTCCAGCCGGGAGTCTTGTGGCATTTCCGTCATTTCTCTCCTCCCTGCACTTTACCCAAGAGGACCCCTCCAGCTACCGTTAGGCACTCCCAGCCCTCGTCTGAGCATGGGGCTGATGTCATCGTGCCTGTGCACAGGGCCATTTTTGGTGTTCGTTTCTTAGAAGAATCCAGAGTATAAACACAGCCGACTCTGGACCATTTCAGGCCTCCATACAGGGAGAGAGTGACACTCAGAAAACAGTAACAATGGAAAGTCACCCACAGTCCCAGGAACAGCGCCAGGGACCCTCTGTGGGCGGGGGGAGGCCATGGGTTGAACAAAGGACCGTCTACCATACATGGGTGGCCAGCGGAGACCTGCAGGGCTCTTGGGGAAATCCATCCTTTCCAGACAAATTAACAGTACAAGTACCTTTGGACTGTTTAGGTAAGAAGGGCCAAGGTTCTTGGGGGGTTTCAGGGCCCTCGCCCTGTGAGGCTGTGGCACCAGATGACTTGTAAGATCCTGGCATCTCTAAAAATACTCTGATCACAGGCTGTGATCGGAAAGGATCATGAGCGGAACAACAGACATCTGGAGAGAAGAGACCAATGCAGAAATCTGGGATTGTCATTTTCTTCAGATTTCCGGGGCTATTTGCTCTCACTTGGTGGGCCTGAACTGCGGTTCTGAGATGAAAAGGGAAAATGACTCAGCTTCTAGGTTAATCCTGTTCTCCAAGAGTCTAAATGGATGCTGGACAACTTCGGGTTCACCCCCCCCTTGAATGCTTGCATCCTCTGGCCTGAACCAGTGTCTCTCGGCTTCTAGCTGGCGGTTCCCCTCACTCCTCCTGGACTTCGGAAGTCCGCTGCTTCCCACCTGAGAGGTTCTGGGGGAAAGACACTCTCTCACTTGGGGTGTGGTCTTGTCAGCCCAACACAGCACAGACGACACACTCGGAACGTGTCTCTGTGCCTGCGGCTGACCTGGTTTCCAGCTGAAGCGTCTGTATGAGGATACGTGAAGAACCATACAGGCTTGAAATACTTTTCATTTGATTGGATACCATTTAAATACTTTAAGACGGTTTTAAAAAGACAATTTCCCCTAACATTGGAGGGACGAGAAGAGCCTTCCATTTATGGGGTCATGACTCAAATGTTTCCAGGAGCTAACAACTGAAAGGGCTGCGGCACCCAGACAGCATCACTCACAGCGAGCAGCCGTTCCCCAGCCCCCGCTGATGACTGCCAAGCAGTAACGTGGGCCCAGTGCTGGCAGACTTTCTTTTTTTTTTTTTTTATTTGAGAGAGAGGGAGAGAGAGACACAGCAGGAGCCGAGGGAGGGGGAGGGGCAGAGGGACACGCAGTCCTCTCACTGAGCAGGAAGCCCGACGCAGGACTCGATCCCAGGACCCTGAGAAGAGGATCTGAGCAGAAGTCAGCCGCTTAACAGACTGAGCCACCCAGGCGCCCCTAGTGCTGGCAGACTTACCATTTCTTTTAAGAGAAACCCGAAATCTGTATTTCCTGTGAAATCTCTCAATTTTTAAACGCACCCATCAATCCAAGTTTTGGGTTGAAAACACTGCAGTCTGGTCACAAGCCCTGAGGAAGTAAGAGGTTTGGACTCCCCTTTCTCGGGTAAACAGTCGTAAAACTGAACAAAGAAGCTGAAGCAACTGTTTTCCAGCACTGGGCATCATACAGCACAGGCAGTAAAAAAAGAAAAAAGAACTAATTCAGAGTACAGGACACGACCAGCAACGCGGCAGACTTCAATCCGACCATATCAATAATTGCATTAGGAGTAATTGCACTAAGCACCCCAATTAAAAACATGATGCAGACCAAACGGAATGAGTTAATGGAAGTTTGTGAGCCCTGATTTACCTGTTTTCACTCCAGCCTTCCAAATATAACCACCACTTAAAGATCTTGTTAGAACAATGTACGGCCTTCCCAACCCATCCCAAGGAACAGACGATTTTTTCTGTGAAAACGAAGAAAACCAAACTATCCATTTCCTCCACGAGGCTCACTACCCTGCTGGTCCCCCACGAGGGCCTCCCACGGAATAGTATGCACAGAACGCCGACGCGCGGCAGCACCCACCGCGGTGCAAACCACCTCGGGCATAAGCTTGCACACCAGCTTACGTGCTTGGTGAGGCCGCCGTCATTAGAGAATATCTGTGCTGCTCCTTGTGAACATAGCCCAAAGTGTGACAGAATTTCTTTGAAGAAAGAAAAAGCAGAAGGGGAGAGGAAGAGCCAAAGATACATTCTTCTTTTTGTCTTTTAAGTTGGAAGGATATATTTCTAAATGCACTTCTCTATGAGCAAATGGTATAGGGCTTTCACCCAGAATGGGGGAAAGATATGGGAGCGGCCTTTCCACCCCGTGCACTATTGGGGGGATGAAACTGAGGGCATGAAACTGGAGAATCGATGTGTACTTAAAAATACAAAGAGGCAGCTAACAGGTGTTTTGAGGGATAGTCTCTATTGACCCTACCGTTCCTTGTTGATAGAAGTGGGGAGCCAGCTCCAACAGCCAAGCGGATTCGATAGCAGTCACGTCTCTCATGTAATACTTGGAGGTCTGTATAACTTCATTGTAGATAACCCTAAAAGCAGGAGAAAACAGGAATTTCCTATACCTTATGGTGAGAACCCAGAACCACAGGAAGCAGAGCTGGTGAGTTTTCCCCTTTCCCAGGACCTCCTGTGTGTACCAAACGCGCTTCCGCCTCGTGACCTGACTGGTGGGTAACATGTGCCCACTTTACAGGGGAGATCAGCCTGACATCACTTCCAGAACATCTCACTTCTCTGTGCTGGACCCTTCTGGATTCTCAGTCTGTATTTACAGAACTCTCAACAGAGCACTGACTTTATTACAAAATGTAGAAAGAGAAGCGAAGGCTTGCCTGATTCTAAAAAGGGATGGAAATTAACTACAAAGAGCTGTCAACACTCTCACTGTACACGAATTATACCACTAACAGAAAAACAGGAAGGGTAGGGGCCTTGCCTGAAACTGAGGTAAAAGACACCAAAAAGCCAAGAAGACAGTGTCAAATCCCCAGATTTCTGAGTACACACAGTAGACAGTCATCCGTTTCTGAGCTATCTGAAGCGCTGACACAGGGCTTCCCTGATCACGATAAACACCCAGCCGCACTGCCACTGTGCCCTCCTCTGAAGCCAGCAAATGATCAGCTGCTGAAGGTCGGACCCAGCGAGAGGGAGGGGCCCTCTGCCGAGGCCGGAGGGGAAGGGTGCTCCCTTGGCACCCTGAGGTGATGGGGCTGCTTCAGGACTGGCTCTATTCTGCCACACTCTTTGCCTTTCAGGGCTCATTAGGAATGAGGCAGGAAAAAGAAGTCTCCCCACTTATGCAACTCCCAAATTAGTCAAGCCAAAGTCGGCAAACCCTTGGGAAAAGATCTAGAACTGAGGTTTGCTTCCCTCTTCCAATCACTCTGCATGCTGATCGACAGAGGGCAACATTTCTAAAGCCAGAACTGACTGACCACGTCTCGCCCAGCTAAGCAGCTTCTGGATCTGCAGGCGTTACAGGATAAAGTCTAATCCCTTGTCTCGGGGAAAGAGTCTCAAACTTTACCACCCATCAGAGCCACCTGGAGGGCTTGTTAAGACGGGACCCCACTCCCAGTTTCTGATTCAGAAGGGCTGGGCCCTGGCCTGGACATCTGCATTTCTCACGGGCTTCCAGGTGATGCTGATGTTTGCCTGGAGACTGCACTCTGGAAACCACTACTCCAGGGCGCCAAGGACCTCCCAGCAGACCTTTCTGCCCTCTCTTGCTTCTACCATTATCTTCCCTCCCAGGCCCGCTCACTCTCCTCTGCCTTCTCCACCGATCTGTGGGGAAGAACCAGTTATTGTTTTTAAATTTTCCAATCCACTCTGAGAGCAATATTTTTCTAAAACATAATACAAATGAATTTACTAGAAAAATGAGATTCTAAAAAGACAGACAAAACACAGACTCCATTTTTTTATTATCAAATTGGACAAAAACTTAACCGACCTATTAAAGGTCTAAATGCCTCCTCTTGAGTGCGCCTCTCTTCCCTCATAGGCACAGTCCCAGACTTGCCCCCGTCACCCACCACCTCGGGCTGGCCTGTGCCCACCACACCAGGGACTCCCCACTTCCCAGACAGGAGGTTCCCTCACCTTCCCGTGGCTTCACTTCTGCCCCTTCCTCAGTGTGTACTCCCTCCACCTCCTTTTCTGCCCAAAAAGTCCTGTCTGCAGGCCCCCAAGCAAGTGTCATCTCGTCCACGAAGCCACCACTGACTCTCCCTGGCAGGTGACGTGGCAGCCCCCGTGCCTTACACCCGCCCCCCCTAGCAGGCCCTTCTCCTGAGCTGCTGGAATGTGTCTGCATCTGTGTCTCCATCACGCCTGTGGCCCGGAACCCCAATCTGCCTCCACATCGCTGTGCCCAGTGTAGGGTTTAACACCTAGTCTGTGCGTGAAGATGAAATTTGCTAAGTACATGAGTGAGGACAGGAGTATCACCATTTGCGTAAGGAAATCTGATAAGAGCAGAAATTCTGTAGATGACTCAGCATAACAAAGTCGACAAATGGGTATGCCAGCTGCATGCCAGGCCTAAGGACCCAGGGATGAACAAGAACCAGGCCTTGCCTTCTGAGCAGTTAAAAGGCTCAGTAGCAGACGGTGGCTTACCAGCGAGGCGGCTTCTCTGCGTAGAGGACCGAGGCAGGGTGGATATGTAATTCATGATCGTCACGGATAGTCCTTGCAAAGAGAAGAATTTTATCCAAAGTCAGTCTGAAATAGTTGGAGTGGGACTCTCCCACAGATATGTTTCATATTATCAAAAACTGCATGCAGGTGGTACTTCAATCGAACAAACTATTCTCTCCATCTTCTCTAGTGCCCTGAATGTCCCCTCACCCACTGCCACCTCAGAAGTCAAGAACAAATCATACAAAAAAACAGCATGTGGCTATTCTGGAAAAAAACATGGAAAATATATACTGCTCTGCCCATGTTCATGTTTATCTTCCATACATTCTCTTTCAAAACTATCTCCTTAGGGGCGCCTGGGTGGCTCAGTGGGTTAAAGCCTCTGCCTTCAGCTTGGATCATGAACCCAGGGTCCTGGGATCGAGCCCCACATCGGGCTCTCTGCTCAGCAGGGAGCCTGCTTCCCTTCCTCTCTCTCTGCTTGCCTCTCTGCCTACTTGTGATCTCTGTCAAATAAATAAATTTTTTAAAAAATTAAAAAAAAAAAACAATCTCCTTAGGGACAGAAATAATACATAAGCTTACCTGTACAAACTTTCCTATTAAACAAAATTAAATAGTAAAGATAAAGGCTATGGGGGATATAATAATAGGGGAAAAAGAAAGCTCCGTACTGGACTATCCATTTCTCTGAGATAATATTCCAAATGTCAACTCAGATTTGATTCAATTTAAATCAAAAAGTAATTACCCAGCATACAACTACTGGTAAGCTCAGATCCAAGAGAGCAGCAACAGATTAGGATGCTGCTGCCCAAACCCTAATTATGGGGTGTTGCTGTGGGTGCATTAGGGAATCGCCTCAAGCACCATGATCGAGCTCATCTCCAGCTCTGTGACAGACCAGCACCCCAGGGTCCTGGCTGTGCCACCGGCTGCCCTGAGCTGATCAACACTGAACTTCTGCCTCAAAGGGACTGACTGACCATGAAGCCGACTTCCCCTCAGAAAATAGGAACGTATTATTCTCTGAGGGGAAAAGGCTAATGACAAAATAATATATGGAGGAAATGCAGAGAAAAGCTGGGGAGGAAGCCTTTGGACAGCTCCCATATGAAAGAACAGATGCATTTTTAAACAGGCTCGGGGGACACTCTGGACCAGAACAAGGCAAAGTCCTGAGGTTATTAGGAGGGCATGGATGACCAGGGATTTTCTGCCCAGAAAGCGTAACTGGATGACACAGGCTTCGATCTGTGGCAGGCGGCACATCCAGCACATGAAGAAACACTTCCCAACATCCAGAGAGCAACTATGGCCACAAGGTTCCACAGGTCTCTACACCAACAATGAAATGCCAACAGCCGGGGTTGTTTCTCCAGGAAAGAGCATCTCTAACGGTCCTTTCCATTTCTCTTCTTCCGTTATTAGAATGGAAATATTTCCAGCCTCCGGACTTGTAATTATCATCCTTCCACAACACACAGATGAGCTGAATATTTGAGAATCATTCCCATCAACGTAAGATATTATGCTGAAAGCTATGTAGTTAACCTCAACTCATCTTTGCAAGGAGGCAGGAGATAAAGAAAACCGATTTAACTTAATTTCTGTACTTTCCCAGCACATCAGCTTTCTATGGGGTTTGGATCATTTTTAAGATTTCTCCTTTAGCAAATGACTTCATAAAGTATCGCATTACCTATAAGCTCCAGTAGAATGAAATCTTGCTGCATTCGCAAAGAATCCTGAAACAATGCACCTCAGGACTGGATCTGGATCACCTGCACGAGGCGGCAAACAGAGTGATGGGTGAGCCCCTGGCCTGCCCTACGTTCTGCATGTTCAGACCGGTGCTGTGAGGCTCCAGCCCAGGCTGCGTCAAACCACCTTGCAAACCTCCCCTGAACCACCCCCAATCCCACACCTCCCAGTGCTGGACACCAGCCCTGGCACCATCTATGGCTGTAGAAGGAAGCATGCCAGACTGTTCCTTTAACTCGGGATGCCCCAACCCCACCTGGCTACAGGGTGACAGGACCAAGGTCAGGCACCAGAACCCAAGACAGCACACCACAAGCTGGCCAGTGACACCAAGAACTTTTTTAGGAGAAAACCTTAATGTTTCTTCCATAAGACACAACATTACAACATTATTTCTGTTGTAATAAGCTACAGCACATAATTCTTCACAATTTTTCAAATGTCCCATTTTAATTGGTGTGTCTGTATTGCTACAGTAAACATCTTCCAAGGATAGAGCCCAACCATTTGTTAGATGATTTTCACAGGATACATTCTAAGTGATTATGGAAAGGGTAATACCATGTGTGTGGCTTACAACATAGGACATTCCATCAATTCTAAGACTCACCCTTTTTTCCCCCTTTAACTTACTGAAATTAAGACAGCATTTTGTTAATTATAACTGGCAATACTTTCTTCCTAGTGGTACATAAAATAATGGCGTGCCTTATGAATGATGGCATCTTAGAGCCAATGAAATACAGTATGTTGGTAAATAAGTTTCCAAAAGGCAGTATAATTTATTAAGCCATCAGCAGTACACAAGAATGTCAGTGTCACCACATTCTTACTGGCAATGTTTTGGCTAAAAGGTACCCCTTCTACTGCACATTTATCAGTTACTATGTGTGTTTTTTTTCTTTTTTTTTTTTTGAAACCAGTATTTTTTCTAAGCATGCTAAATGAACTCATTCTATGATAGAGTTTTTAATTTTTCATCTCTTATGTCTGCTAAAAATACTTTTACTATTTGCTTTTTCTTTAACATCTTAGAGATTTCAAATTTGGGGGTGCCTGGGTGGTTCAGTCATTAAGCATCTGCCTTCAGCTCAGGTCATGATCTCAGGGTCCTGGGATCGAGCCCCACATCGGGCTCTGCTCAGCAGGGAGCCTGCTTCCTCCTCTCTCTCTCTGCCTGCCTCTCTGCCTACTTGTGATCTCTGTCAAATAAATAAATAAAATATTAAAAAAAAAATTTCAAATTTGTACATAATTTACTGTGTTTCCATGACTTGCTCTATTGTTTCTCAGCAAAGAACTGATAAATCTCAAATCTACATTTCTAACCAAGGTCTGATCCAAGATTCAGTCTCTCTAACTGCTACCCAAAAGAAACTTCTATGTAGAACACACATTCTTATTAGGGCAACACTGCTTCCAAAGGGATGAAAACTGGCTCTCGCACAGGGAAGGGGTAGATCGTAGATACTGCAATGGCTGTGGCCCAGCAAGGCCCAAACCTACCTTACAAAATCTTATTTTCCCTCATGTTTAATTTCTCTTATTCGGAAGAATTTAAATTTAACATCACTTTTCTCCTGAGTGAGAGGCTAATAATGCAAAACAGGTTAAGAAACACAGATGGAAAAATAAGGCTGTCATCTGCTAGGTGACAAGCGCTAAATCAGCTTCTCCCCCAAAGAGCTGCCTTTGGAAGCTTCCCATTTCTATCAATGACACCAACTTCACCCAATCACCCAGTTTCAACTCTCCCCCCTCCTGTGAGCGTCTTCACTCATCAGAATTCTGAGCATCTAATACGCCCCTCACCCCGAGCACCTGTCTCCACAGCTTCCCTGCCCTGTGCTTGCTAGGGCAACCCCGCTGCTGGACTGAACCTGACCCCCACCCGAGGCCTGCTGTGCGACCTCCCAGGCCCAGCCCCGCTGGGCTCCCGCCTGCATGCATTCCTATCACATCCGCACCCATCTGCCTCAAGCACTGATGGGTCTACTCCTCTAACTGAAAAGGGAACTGAAGACCTCACACCTTAGCACTCAGTCTACCCACATCAGTCTCTCCCTTCCCTGCACTGTTTTCTGAGAGTCAGAACCATGTCTTGGCCATTTTGTAATCACTTGCTATTAGGATAGAGGCAAAAATAAGGCTGAAGCGGCAGGAATGAAACTGCCCGAGTCCAACTTCCGATTCCACCACACACTCGGCGTGTGACCTTCAGCAAGTTTCTCTTTGCCTCCTCGCCCACTGATGTCATCTATCAACAGAGATACGAGCGGCACCTAGCCACTGGATCGGTGTGCGCACTAAATGAACTCACAGGGGACACACTCAGCACACGGCCGGCCTGCTCTCGGCACTTGGGGAACGCGAGCAGGCACTCGTGGTGCCAAGGGTACCAGGCGCCGGGCGTGTGGCTGGCCCTCGATGAATGAGCAGAGGGGTCACCCTTCAAGAGCACAGGTTATAAGCCACACAGATCTGGATCAGCTGAACCAGCTGTGCTGTCCTGAACACAACGAATTTCTCCCTAGGACTTTACAACCCATCTGTAAGCTAAGGAAAGTATCACCCACACCACACTAAATGTCCCTGTGACACCACACCTGCCGTGGTGTAACCAAGCGTGTCCTCAGTTAATGGTAGTCACGGTCACAGCCAGAAGCCAGCGACCACGGCTTACGCAGCACTCCTGTCTTACCCTAGGGACTGCTGAGGCTCAAAACATAGACTTCATGAGTCATGTCTGCATTTGAACGTAAAATCTAATTTATATGGTAGAGCCCTAAATACTGTGCACTTAAAAGCAACTTTTCTTGCAAAGCCTACATGCAGAAATTAATAAGTACGTAACATGCAATGATGTGAATGCTAATGATCCTGAAGTCTTGTCAGGGCTTGTCAATTTTTTTTTCCCCACTAAGAACAGCCCTAAGAAATACAAATGGACCTCCCTGGAAAAAACAAGCTACTTTTATACGCTCAGCTTTGCACCGACACGGGCAATTCCGTGTCTGCCCGGAGGAGGTATGGAGCATGCCGTGCCCTCGCACCAGCCTTGCACGGACCATCTGCAAATACATGTCAACGGCCCAGAACGGGGTGTCGCTGGGTGTGAAGGTTTGCTCTTACCTTCGCTAGATTTCTTGGGCACTTGAAACTTGACAAGAAGCTTCTTCAACTGCTCTCGCACTGTTGCCGCTCTGACAAGACCCTTGTAATTCAGGAAATGTTCCTGACACCACTGAGAGTTTTTATTGTGCTACAGGGCAACCCAGATAGAGGAGGAGTGAGAGAAACGCAGACAAGTTCTCGACCACAGCTACACTGCAAGGTGCACAGTTTCCTCTGGCCCCCTTTGCTTACTCAGTGGGACAAGACCTTCCCGTCCTAATGGGCCCCATTCTGCCCCATGCTCCTCAACGGATGCTGACCGCCACACGTGCCATCGGACTGCTCTTTCGTCTAGCTTCCCGTGCCAAAGGGCAAAGGAGAACTTCCTGATAGTTACTTTCAATCTGAAATACCCACCCAAGTGGCGAGTTATCAGAAAGAACCACTTCCCTGTGGGTCCTTATAAATTAACTTTGTAGATCAACTTTCTGTGAGTTCATCATTATAGGAGACTATAGGCGTGCAATGACACTTGCCAATTTAGAAATAATTTGAAAATGACTACTCTTTATCCCCAACATTTTTCTATCAATAGTGCTTAATTTTATGTCGAATAAATTTACTAAATTACATTAGTAAATGTCTTAAACTAAATTACTGCTGTGGGGATGTATCTCTGAAATTCTACTCCAAGCCAAAAAGGAAAGCATTTTGAATAAGAAAATGTCATCCACAGATTTCCCAAGAAGGCGACTATACACTAATGTGGTATAAACGTGCGCCCGCCTTCCAACGGCAGAGCAAGCTTCAGAGTGCAGATGGCAAGCTGCGCTCGTACTAATGAATTTTAACTCCTGTAACTCATAACTCATGATCTCAGTAAGAGATCAGGCTTTTCTGAAGACTGTTCATTAACTGAATCATCTCCCTTAGATCTCTGGTGAAACAAAAACCTAGTAGTTCTCCTCTTCTAGAAGTATTTAAGAAACAAATACAAGATACTGAAAATCAGAAATATTTAATTCCCCCTCCCACCCTTTCCTCTACATAAGAGGTTTCTTACACTTTTCATCTTTAGAGCTCTTTTTCAGCAATTTTTGGTAAGACTCTTAGGCTGTATTATTTGCTTAGTTTTACAAAATGTTAAAAATGTTACAGAAAAACACAATAAAAATTAACAGTGCCTATGGCTAAATCCGGGTAGGGTGAGTGAACAGATGTGGTCCTCACCACACGTCCCTCATGGCCGGTCCCCGCTGGAGGAGTGGCAGCTGACACAATCTCAAAGACACTGCTTTGAAGAATTCAACTCCACATCACACCCTCTTGGCCTCACTTATTTGGCAGAAAATAGAACAGGACTTGCTACTCAGATGTCTGCCAGTACGGTCCAGCAGCACTGGTGGGTGTGAGACAGTAGGGAGAGGGGGCAGGCCGAGCCATCAGCATGCTGCTGGCGGGCCACATCTCCAGGCAGGGGACAGCCAGAAGCGACTACTATGTTCTCCCAGGCAAAATCACACCACAAACCCAAGCAGGGGCTCCACCCGTGAGTTACAAGTACTAGCAATAATCTAACAGAGAAATGCCGAGGTCTCTCGGCCATCGCTTTATAAACTGATCTGGAACCCTCACTCCTAGATCACCCTGAGTTGGGTGGAGGGGCCTTTTGAGTGGCAGCTGTACTTACTTTGATAAACGCTTCATACACGTTGAGCATCGTGAGATGATCACCCTCTTCCACAGCAAACTTTCGGTGCACTCGAATCTGGAAAGAACAAAGCAACATTTAGAAGTCAACTCCCGTGAGCCTCTGGTACTGGGTGGTAACACTACAAGCAGAAGAGCTCATGGCTTGCAGAGTCAGAAAGACCTGGTCTGTACCCGGTCTGTACCCGGTCTGACTCCACCAGCTCCCCAAAACCTCAGGCTGGTAATATACCTTTTCTTGGCCTCAGCTTCCTTATCTGTAAAATCAGGATTATTAAACCTATCAAGACTGCTGCGGGATTAAGAGGATTTACTCTCATACCTGCCAGAGGTATTAGGGAAGCGTCAGTGTTCTTATCTCTCTCCTCCTCTACCCAGTCCATACCATCTCTTTCAGAAGAACCTCCACCCCCCCACCCCCGACGCCCCACTGTAGCCCCTAGAAGAATGCATGTTCCGGGAGGGCAGGTGGCCAGCTGTCTGGCACATGGGAGACACAACTCTGTATTCAGAGGTGACCACCAGCCACGCAATCCTTTCAGACCCCATCCCTCAGTTTTCCTTCCTATATGATCCTAGGCAACACCACCCTCTTCTCACAAGTTCAAGAACTCAGCACATACAATACATAAGTAAGCAAACAAATTTACTTAGTATCTCTAGAATTTTCTCTTTCCATCAAATATCACATAATTAAAGCCTACCTACTCACGTTCCTGCCTTCCATCCATTCCTTCGTTAATAGGGACACTACCTTCCAAGCATTTGGGATATAGCAGTGACTCAAGCAGTGGTGGGAGCAAAAACCAAACAAGCAAACGAGCCAAATATGGTACAGCAGGTGGGAAGAAGGCCTAGGGGAGAACACAGCAGAGGAGAGGCCGGACCGGGGAGGGGAAACACTATAATTCCAGACAGTGGTAAAGACCTCAGGTTCCTCATCTTGAAAACAAGTCTGCCTACTCTGAGGAAGGACTATCAGAAAGCATAACAGAAAAGCAAACAAAAAAAGGGAGAAAATGGACACAACACCAGGCACAGAGGCAGGAAAATGTAATCTATCATGTTACGACTGTCAGGGAAGAAGACAACCACCCATAAGAAAGTCTCTCTCCCCACCACACGTCCAAGTTCAGCTCCTGTGTGTGCAAGGCTGCCACTTCCCACTCTTCAGGCAGGAACCAGCCGATTTCACCTTGGCCTGCCTCTGTCAGTGCGCCAGGATGCTCTTCGTAGCCTGATTTCTCTAATCTCCCTGGCACTCATTCCTTCAGCCGTGTCTGGTGCCGGGGCCTCGGGCAGGGCCCTGCCATCTCCCTGGTTTGGAGTTACCCTCCACTGCCACCAAAATCAGCCTGCCGTGCCCAGGCACTGCTTCTTACATCGCTAGTGCACCACCCAGCTTGCTCCCAGAGGAGCATGAAGGCCCATTTCCCTTATGGGGAGATCAACGGGTCACAGTTATGACTGGGGGCTCCAGACTATGAAAGGCAACTGCCCCACAGCTGTGCAATCACGAACGTGAGTTACATAACCTTTCTGCGCCTCCACCTCTAAAGATGATGAGAACGGTGTTTACCTCCCAGGATTATGGTGAAGACACAAGGGAACATGACGCATATAAAATGTCTGGCACAATGTCAGGTACATGGCAAACACTCAGAATGCAAGTGGGTCTCATCTGCACAGCCCTGTCGTCAGCGGTTCCCAGAGAGTTTCAACAAGGGAACCCACAGTCGAAGACACTGGTATGAATGGCTTGGGGAAAAGGCTAGACTTACTGCCTGAGACTTCTGGTTTGAGGGGACCACAAAGATATTCTGGATCTGCATCATGGCTGCAATGCTTAGAATTTCCTGAGAACAGCCAAAATTTCCTATAAAACAAAAAGCATGTTTGACTTCAAACATGTACTATCAATGAGAAGTGAAAGACATTTCGTTATTTTCCTTATACCATACTACAAACTAAAGTCATATATGTATATACAGTTTGATTGTTAAAGTTCATAACATATCAACATTTTACCCTTCTGAATGTAATGTCCCATATGTGGCCCAGATGAACAGAGGCCCAGGAGGGTTCTGAGAACTCCAGCTACGCACCACGGTGGGACCAAAGGAGCCGAGTCACTAAGGGCGGGTTCACTCCACACCTGTTCCTTCTCTCAATGGAACAGCTAGGATCCTGGTCAAAATCCGAGGTGGGGTGGGGGTGGGGGGGGGGAAGCAGAGAGTATGTGGGTTGTGTCCCTTCTGCAGTATCTCTCTTCCTGGACCATTCTCAGGGCTGGCCTCCCTCCTGACAGGGCTCACCTGACCTGGCAAGCCCCAGGCACACCTAAACCAGGGCAGCCCTCCTCGGGCAGCAGCTGCTCACACCTGGGAACAGGGTCTGCAGCCATCAGCATCCGGGGCACACTGGACGGTGACAGCGAACTGTCCCATCCATCCTCCTCCCCACAGCTTCCAGCCTCATGACTGACACGCATCCCTACCCCAAACTTAAGAGTCCCATTTCTCAATTAAGCCTGAGGTCATCCGGGTGTTTCAAAACTAAAGCTACCCCTCACCACGCTTAGTCTGAAATACAGCGCTGTACACTGCTAGTGAATATAAAAGTTAGCCAAAAGCAAGAAAAAATTCTAATTGCTTTTCTTGGTCGAGGTGGTGGGTAGATGATTCTGACTTGACCTCTAACTTCAGAACTTTCGCCCCTTACTCCCATCCTCACAGACATCTGAAGGCATCAGGGAAGCTGGGCCCCTTGTGGCTGGTGGTGGGAGTAGAAAGGGGTGTGACCTCGGGAAAATAGGAGAGGCCTCCAAAAATCAAACATAGAATTATTGGATGATTCAGCAATTCCACTGGAAGCACATACCCAAAAGAAGGGAAAGCAGGGATTCCAACAGATGCTTCTATGCCAGTGCTCACAGCAGCCTTACTCACAACAGCTAGAAGGTGGAAACAACTTTTATATTCACTAGTGTCCATCGGTAGGTGGACAGCATATACAGGGAAATACTAGTCAGCCTTAAAAGGGGGCATTCTGACACAGGCTACACCATGAATGAACCTTCGAAGACAGTACTCAAATGTAATAAACCTGTCACAAAAGGGCAAATATTATAGGATTCCACTGAAGGGAAGTTCCCAGAATCATCAAATTGAAGACAGAGTAGGAGGGTGGCTGTAGGACTGGGGGAAGGAGGGAATGGGGAGTTGGTGTTTAATGAGGACAGAGTTTCAGTGTGAAAAGATGAAAAAGTTCTGGAAATGGATGGTGATAAGGGCCGACTGACAGTGTGAGTGTACTTAATGCCTCAGAATTGTACACTTAAAAATGTTTAAAATGGTACACTTCATGTATTTTTTATCATAATTAAAAAAAAAAAAAAAACTTCCCTGTTTAAAAAAAAAAATCAGGCGTCCATTCTAGGCCCCCAGGAAAACAAAAAGTGTCTACTGAATGAATTAATGGTGACTGACACAGATTCCCCAGTTAACAGCATGCCCAAGTCAGAGAGCGTTAGAGGAAAGCTCCTTCACTACACGGAATATATCATGCCCTCTTCCCCAGGGTGCACAAAATTCAAAGAGCTAATCCTGACAGAATCAGTGAGAACTACTGGTCTCCACCTACCTGATTCAAGCAGCATTTTTGCAAACATGGGGTTCAAAGGAAACTCTGCGATTCTCATGCCAAGAGGTTCAGTTAGGCGACAGTCTTTGTCCAGACCTGCCGTAAGAACAACAGAAATCAGAAGGTGTGTACCTTCTGTTGGAAGACGTATGGTTACCAGGAGGATAAGCGACGATGGATGCTACGAAAAGGTGTCCAAAAGATGAATCTCGCTACCAAACTCAAGCTTACATCAGAATGCTGTTACATTAAAAGAAGAAAAGACCCACTCTGAGCTCCTGAAAAGCCAATTTTGAAAAACTGACACTTCACATAGCTTCTTTTCAAGGACTTCATTCCCAGGGAACAGCCCTGCAGCCTCCTCCTGCTCCCCACTCCCCTCCCCCACCCCGGAGACTGCTCCTTCCAAGTGCGAGTGCAGATGTCCCAGAAGGGCAGCCCGCGCCCTCCGCTCCTCGCGCATTACGAGAGCAATTACAAGGCCAGCAACTGCTCAGTGTCTGCCCAGACCTCTCCTGGGTGCCAACCCCAGGACTATTCATCCAGCTGCCCCCCCGGGCAGTTCACTGAACTGGGTGGACTCCAATTCCCCATGTCCCTCCCTGCCCCTGTGCCACCAGCCGGTATTCAGGTATGGGATTCCGGAGCTGCTACCATGCGGGCTACTCCCAAGGCATGCCATTAAAATACATGCTGCAGAGCTCAGAGTAGGACGGGAAAGGTAATTTCTCTTCTGTTCCCATATCATCATCTCTTGGAACGTGATAATTCAGCTTGTAGCTGGAGATTAAGCTGGGTGGTTCTCCTTGCCTTCTCTGGCTTACTTAGGGCAGTGAAGAAATAGAAAATATTCTAACTTTCTGTTGCATGAGAGGCAAATCTATGCAAATGAAAAACTTCTCTGTTGTCAATGTTCTCTCATACACATTACAGACGACCCCAGGAAACCTTGCTTTCAGGGTCCTACGACATGCCTGAGAATAGGGATGGGAACCTGTTCGGCATACACTCACTCTGGGCTGACCTGACCCAGACCCATATAAAGGCCTTCTAAATCCATCTTTTAAATCAGTAATTGGCTATTCCTTTGGGGGAAGTATCACAAATGTAATGAATGAAGATGGACCCCATACAAAAAAATTAACTCCAAAATGGATAAGGATACTATGTGACATATCCAATCCAAGAAATGCTGTATTATTCAATAAAAAGGAATGAAATATCAACACATCTACAACACAGATGAACCTTGAAAACATTGGCTGAAGGAGAGAAGACAGTCGTAAAAGACCACAGATGATAAAACTCTGTTTATGAGAGATGTCCATAATAGGCGAGTCTACAGAGACATATTAGATCACTAGTTGCCTGAAGTTGAGAGAAGCAGGGGAAAGGGAGTAAGGAAGGAGCACTCATAGGTACAGGCTTTCTTTCTTAGGTGATGAAACCGTTCTAAATTTGGGATGATGGTCATATAACCCTGTGAATATACTAAAAACCACTGAACTATACACTTTAAATGGGTAAATTGTATGGCATTATGAATTATGCCTCAACAAAGATGTTAAAAACAAACAAAACAATCTCAAAGGACAAAACCTCTACCTAAACTTACTACCAAACTAGACACTATGTTCATTTGGAGCAATATTCACAGAAGGCAGGTACTTCCTGAGCAGATGAATACAAGGCTACGGTTTTCTCTATCTTAGAGTAAATGCTACATTTTTAAACAGTAAAATAGAGGTTCTTCCAAAGCATGGTGTTTCCTTGCCCCAAAGAACTCCACAGGCTAGTCATCAACTCAATTCTCCCCAGGGAACTCCAGGAATGGAATGAGGGGGGACAGAAAGAGAATGCTGAGCCAGAGATTTCAGAATGGGGTGGAGGGACTGAGAAACAGGCCTGAAGAGGTAACATCTAAAATACTGGTAGGGAATCTTCAAGATGTCTTTCAGGAGTGAGGCTCTAATAGCTCCTAATGTACCAACATACTTTATAAGTTCATTGCCATAACTGGACTTCATATACTATTAATCTAATTATGGTCCCACCTTTTTACATCCATGAAGCTTAAGGGTTGTTAAAAGGATTCTATAAATGGGGAGAAGCAGTCCCATCCCTGAAGATACTAAAAGCCCGTGAATACAACCAAACCAATATCATCTATAGTAAGCAAATGAGAGAACATGTAATAGATAGGCATACCTCCCAGAGCATAGAGTAACTCCAACGCTTGAACCATCGACTGGGCTGGGGGGGGCTGTAAAAATATAAGAATCCTCCTGAAGTAATTTCTTCAAGTAATAGACATAAAATGTGACAATTTCCTACTCAAATCACTCTTCCCTCTTATGTCCCCCATATATCCCAGCCTCCATGCTTGTATTCACGTTGGTGCCCTTGCAATGGCCTTCCTCTCCTTTGTAGCATCCTTACTGCTACTGGGTCTTCAATCTCGGCTTGATTAAACTCTGCCCCTTGGAGCCCTCCCTCATGCTCCCTCCACCAGAAGTGATGGGTCCCTACTTTGAACAACCTCCCTGTTTTCCTACACTCTCATCAGACACTTCCGACTTTATCCTTCATAGTCTCAACCTTCTATTCCAGCAACCCTGGTGGATAACACTGCACCACCCAGAGCCCAGTGCCAGGCCTTCCCCCATAGGGGGCAACTGACACGCATGGAATCTGAATTCTGAAAAGAGAGAATGCTAGGCAATCTGACATTATTTAAGCAAAGCTGCTACTGTGACCTTCAGTGTGATTATCTGATCCAAATCACAGCTCCAGTATTTTCACCTAAACACACACTGACTAGTATGTCTCCCTGGCCTCATCTGATTTGGGACCATATGAACACTGTTTTAACACAACTGGAAGGACTGCATATGTATAATTTTAGTTTATTTTTCTGTATGGTTTTCTGGGGGGGTTTTTTTTTTTTTAAGCCCAGAGGAACTTCACAGTGATTACTTGGGATGGCTGCATAGTAGTCCGAGGTCATACTCCGAAAAATACACAGTCCTTTTCAGTTCTTTGCTACTTGAATACTGCTAAATAAACAAAATTATATGTCGTCTCTCATTTCAACTGTCTAAAAAAAAAAAAACATACACACACAGTTTCAGGGAGAAAATAACGTGAAGGGAATATATGAAGATGAATTTGTACATATTTTCCTCATTCTTCAGTTGTCCAAAAGTTTATGATTTTCACTATTCTATTGAAAAATTTAATATACAGAGTGCCTGGGTGGCTCAGTGGGTTAAGCGTCTGCCTTCGGCTCAGGTCATGATCTCAGGGTCCTGGGATCGAGTCCCACATCGGGCTCTCTGCTCAGCAGGGAGCCTGCTTCCCCTACTCTCTCTGCCTGCCTCTCTGCCTACTTGTGATCTCTGTCAAATAAATAAAATCTTTTAAAAAAATTTAATATACAATGGTACTATAAACATAATCACACTATGCATGTTCTTTTCTTCTTTTGAATTATTTTTTCAGGAGAAATTTCCCTGAGAAGAAATACCAGGAGTTCCTACACCTCATAAAATAATGTCAGAAAGCCCTCCAGGACTGAAGCAGAGTACAAAACCACTTTCCCAAACTATGTCAGCTTTGGACTTTCTCCTTTTTCTTCGTGTTTGATCCCTTAACTAATGCGAAGTGTACCTTTCAGCAATTTCAATCTACACTCATTTCTCTTCTGGAGAAGCCAAACATGTTCCAATGTTCATTTACTATTTGTGCTGCTTCCTTTCCTTTGGCTCTTTCTTCCAATGGATATTTATTCCAAATGATGCATGAAAAACTGCAGTTTTCAAGATGCTGATATGTCATTTTTGCCATTATATGTTTTCCTTTCATCTTAGATGGGAGACTTTTCTTATGCTTTTAATTTGCATATACTGTTTATCTTCTCTGTAATTTCTTGCATACACCAATAATCAAAGAGTATGTTTTTTCCATACTTATGATAAACACACAGTTGTTTTCTTTGGGAGAGAGACTGGCATTTTCTATGCCTTCATTCACCTAGTTCGTAATGACATATAAGACATGAGGGACTTTATTATCTGAGAATCCAGGCACGTCACACCATGTAACAATGCAATTGGGAGAGAACAAGAGTTAAAATACTAGTCTTCAAATCATAAAAATTCAAGAAGAAAATATGACTGAATGTTTACTAACGGACCTAGAGGTGGGGAAGTGCTTCATAAGGACAGGAATAACAGAACAAATCACAGAAACAGAGACAGGAAGATTTTACCATGGAAATACTTCTAATGTCTGCACATTAAAATAAATAAATAAATAGTAAAATACAAAAAACTAGAAAAACATTTCCAAAAAATACAGACAAAGGTTAATGTCTAGTTAATTAAAGGACTCTTAAAAATCACAATAAGCACTAATTCTAACAGATAAATGGCTTCACAATTGGGAAGAAATATAAAGTGGACAATAAATGGTTTTTTTTTTTAACTGTCTTTCGAGAAATCAAATAATAAGGTACAGATATTTGTCCTCCCTTCCTTTCCTGACATCAACCAAATTAGCGAGCCTCTAAAAGAAAGTAACAGGGCATGCCGGGGGCACAGTGCATGGGGCAGTGTGTGCTGCTGAAGCTTACAGCGGTTTGGCCACACATCAAGGATATCCAAAATTACTATGGCTGTTTGACCCAATAATTCCCCTCCCAGGAATGAGCCTCAGGAAACAAGCAGAAAGGCGACCAGCCCTGAGGACATCCCCCACAGCTCTGCTGCAGCCCTCCTGACTCCCCCAGTGGTGACACTCCCTCACATAGGCCTCTGCACACTTGCCATCCCAGATCTCCCCACCTCCTGACCTGGTGAAATCCTACTTGGGTTTCAGGTCTCACTTCACCCAAAACCAGCCAGGCTGGGGGTCCTTCCTTTGTCCCTCAGAGCACTGGACCCACCCACGGCAATTACCCACTTACTTGTCACCCCCCGTCAGGCAAGAACAGGAAATGTGTCTGCCCTGTTTGGCCCTGCAACCCCATACCCTGCACGGGGCCTGGTGCAAAGCAGGCACACGACACATGAGCTAAGTGGAAATAAAAAAAATTTTTTTTAGAAAGTGATGCATCCTAGCTAATGTCCCGACATTCGCCCGTGGGCACTCCGGACAGAAGCAGGACTTACCGACATGAAGTGGAACCTGAGGACGTTGTCGATCCCGAGGGCTTTCAGCTGGAGGATGACAGGCGCCAGATTGCTACGCTGCATCTCAGGGACGGTACTCTGAGGCAGCTTGTCAAAGGCTTCCTCTGAGAATAAGAAATCAAAACTGCTTGGGGTCAAATGCCACAATCAAACACAATCATTATGCCCACAGGACAGTTTTCCTTCTCTAGTGAGAGGCTCGAAAACTCTAGGATCAGATATCACGACACGAAGTTGTCTCATATTTCGAAAAGACCATTCCATTTAAAAAGTACCTTAACCTTAGCAGTTTCTATCTTTATGAACAACATATCTTTACAGAAGTCTGTTCTTTTACTTTAGGATGCTTTTTTAACGTGCTTTTTGTGAGAATATGAAATCAAAGCCACAGGTATGTGCTGGATCACAACCGGCACCAGGTCCCACAACCTCTGCTTGGGGCTGCTGCAAGTCTAGAAGGCAAGAACCGTACCTATAAGCAAAGAACAGTTTCAAGTAAATCACCAAAATAGTAACCAGAATACAACAAACGAGCCAATCTTACAAAGAGCAAAAACCGTCCAAATCTAACTTTTTTTAAAACCAACGAGCCAGGCCCACATCGCGCTCAGAATCTGATGCTGCTCCCAACAGATCAACGAACGCTCATGGGCCCCCCTCAGGAACAACAGGCGACCTCCCACAGGAAAAAGCACAAGGCACAGAAGTGCCAAGATGGGAGAGGCAGGAGAGGGGATAGGGAGGAAGAGACCTTGGAGGCCTTTTCATAAAAGCCTGACAAACAGGGCGGTTGGGGGGGCGCAGGGAGAGGGAGGAAGGAATTAAATCACTTTTGTATATATTCAGAAAGCTTATGGCTTAGACAGAGAATGCTCCACCCACAAAATCCCTCTCACATCAGTCAACATTTTAACTGCATACACCCTCCTCAAGACAAGGCTGGCCCAACCTCCACGTAGATCGTAAGGCTTTCGTTAACTAGAGAAAGGAAACAACAACAAAAGGTGACATGAAGACATAGCACTTATCACCGAAGAATTTTTTCAAAAAGGCTGTGAGTGAACAGACAACCAGTGTTCTGAGGATGGATGGACAGAAATGGCCACGGGCACGGGTTTAACTGGGAGGTGCTGAAGAACAGGCAGCAGCAGAAGTTCCTGAAGTTTCTTGACTTTCGAGAGCATCTTGGGGATGGCTTTTCAGCAGGACAGCCACACTTTCCAAGCACACTGCTGACAGAGGGAGAAGTGAAGTTCTCGGATACCAGGACAACCCTGCTAAGAAGCGACTCACAGGAAGCAGGTGCTGCCCAAGAGTTAGTGACGTTCAATTAAACTCTACTGAAGACCAAGTATGTGAGGCCCTGGGCCAGGAGTGGCAGGAGCACCCTCCAGAAGCTTCAGTGATATGAAAGGGTCTGGGACCAAGACCAAAAACAGTCACCTCCAAGGCTGGGTCCCAGTGAACAGTCCTCCTGAAGGAGAATGGAGGCTCAGGGAATGAGGAAGCAGTCACTGCAAAAAGGCATGTGAGGTCACTTCAAGAGGGAGTTGTCATCTGAGAGAGGATCTGAAGGATAAGGGGGATCTGTTGGGCAGAGGGAACAGCCCAAGGAAAGGTATCAAAGATACGAGATGTGGTAAAACAGAAAAGTTAAGTTCAGGAAGGGCAGAGTGTAGCTGGGATGGAGTGCAGGGCATGTATGTGGACAGTGGGATAACATAAGCCAGGAAAAGTCCTGTAGGGTTTTGAGAAAAGGTCCAGGGTCTGAGCAGGCAGCACCCTGCTCAGGATTCCATTCTGTGAAAGCTCATGTGGAAGCCAGTCAGCCAAGAAAGCCTACGGGCTGGATGCTAGTGCACCCCATTACGGTCAGGGGGGCCCTACCCAACCCCACTCCACTAAACTGCTCCTGCTAAGGAGGCCAGTGACCTTTCAACCAAATCGGCCTTCCTGTCTTTAGTCTGCATTCTGTGACATTGTTTCTTTGGAACATGAGGTAACGCTGGCTATTTCCTCTTTAAAAATAGCCTGACTCCCTCAAAAAGTTCAACATAGAATTACTGTGTGACCCCACAATTCCACTGCCAGGTATCTGCTCAAAACAATTAAAAACACACATTCGAAACACACATTTTCATAGCAGCAGCTATTCACAAAAGCCAAAAGTGGATATAATCAACTGATACAGAGATAAGTTGTGGTATATCCATCCATAGAATATTATTCAGCCATAAAAAAGAATGAAGTCCTGGGGCGCCTGGGTGGCTCAGTCGGTTGAGCATCCAACTCTTGATTTCAGCTCAGGTCATGATCTCAGGGTCGTGAGCTGGAGCTCCACGTCGGGCTCTGTGCTGGACAGGGAGCCTGCTTGAGATTCTCTCTCTCCTTCTGTCCCTATCCCTGCCCCCCAAAAAAGAATGAAGTACTAATACAACAGAGATAAACCAGGAAAACATTTAGCATTCATTATGCTAAATGAAAGAAGCCAGACACACAAGGTCACAAATTATATGATCCCATTTATATGAAACATCCCAAATGGATAAACCCACAGAGACAGAACAGATTGGTGGTTGCCAGGAGGCAAGCAGGCGTGCGGAGAAACTGCTTAATGGATAAAGAGTGAGGGAAATATTATGAAACTAGACAAGCAGTAATGCACACTGCAGACGTAATTAAATCCCACTGAACAGTTTGATTTAAAATGGTTAACTTTGGGGCGCCTGGGTGGCTCAGTGGGTTAAAGCCTCTGCCTTCAGTTCAGGTCATGGTCCCAGGGTCCTGGGATAGAGCCCCACATCGGGCTCTCTGCCCAGCAGGGAGCCTGCTTCCCCCTCTTGCTTATTGCTTACTTGTGATCTCTGTCTATCAAATAAATAAATACACAATCTTTAAAAAATAAAAATAAAAAAATAAAATGGTTAACTTTATGTGATATGAATTCCACCCCAATACATCTGTTTTCAAGTATTCTGAAGGTTACTCTTTTCCTAAATTTCCAAATGCCTTTTAACCTCGGTTCTCTCTTTACTCTCCCATCTTTCCTCCTTAGCGCCTTCAGTGGTGGAAGATGCTTACCGCTCTGGCCTCAGGCTCCGCCGTCCCCCTGCCATTAACACTTCCCTTACCCACTTCCTCTCCACCACGTACCTGTAAAGTCCATGCCCTCTGTCTGGTCCTATCCCTTCCCCTGGATAACTACGGGTGGCCAGTAAGATCAGGCACAAATGCTCAGTTGTGAAGCTCTCCCCTGTGGGATAACTCCCTGCTCTCTGCTTCCAAGGCTCACTACGATATGGCAACCCTATCATACCATAACATGCCGACCTGTTTGTGGGGCTGCCTCCACTGACCACGCTCACCTAGCCTGAGATCCCCAAACCCTGGCACATTCACTACAAGAAAGAATAGCATCAGGGACTGAACAAGGGTGATGGTTACCAGCAGGAAAGAAGAGGCAAAAAACAAAGCCCCGGATCTGGGAAGTGAGCGCAGATGGATGCTGGACGGAGGAGAGGATCAAAATGATGTGAAAATTAAGTCTGGACAATGAGAAGAAATCTTGGTGCCATCACCTACCAAAGAGAGGTGCGGGGGGGGCGGAGAGAGAGAGACGCTCTGGACATATCACTGTCGAAGGCATGGCTGCCTTCAAGCTGGAGAGAAAATTCCTGAAGGGCTGGGATAGTCTTTATTAGAATTTTATCTTGCTCCTTCAAAGCCTAGCACAGTGCTTTGCGAAGAGCAGGAGCTGAACAACTATTTGCTTTCTATCAGTGGTCTCAGGACAGAGCCTGCCATTTTCATGCTACAAGGTGCTCTCAACCAGAGGCAAAGATGGAACTCACTGCAGGGCCTCAGAGGAGTCAGGATTCCTCCCAGAACAAGAAAGCAGCAGATTAAGCTGAGGGAAAGGTAAGAAAGAAAGGACCCAAGACACGTGGCCCAGGCTACATGGAGGTCTACACCCAAACTTTAGGCTGGAACGGGGATAGCAGTAACTGGGGACTCATGAGCCAGCCTCGGCCAATGCGAGCAGCAGCAAAGCAGTGCTCCATTTAGCCTGAAGAAAGCAGCAGGGGACAAGGGACAAAGGGCCTGGTGACGGGGTCTGGATTGTATGTGAAGTTCTGCCCAAGGGAAGAAACACCTGTGATCCTCTCCAGTGCTCAGGCTAGCTACGAGAAAGTCAAAAGGCCTGATGGAACGCCACACTAACCTGTATAAAGGCGGTAACATTTTCCAGAGCGGCTGCGGCCACCACGTCCCGCGCGCTGGTTGGCTGACGCCTGGGACACCGGAACCACCACCAAGCACTCAATGGCCGTCCTGGGATTGTAGGCTCGGAGTTTCACGAAGCCACAGTCGATCACATACACAATACCGCTGATTGTAATGGAGGTTTCGGCCACATTGGTGGCCACTATCACCTAAGTCCGCACAGCAAGAAAAGTAGAAAGAAGTTATTTGGTTCTTTTCACTTTTAAGAAACTACTCAAAATCCTAACAGATTTATTAAAGATATTTCCAACAGTGTAGAATCTGTAAGAGGCAGTTTATACAGAATTTCACCCCCTCCTGGGTTGTGGGGGTCATCAAACGTGAAATATCCCTAAAGCGATTAGAGCCTGGTGCTGGGTCCATAATAAATACTCAACAAATGTTAGTTTCTGCCTTCTGCACAGCTAAAGGAAATCACCACCATGAACATGTTCATTCATTCACTCACATTTGAACTATTTTCTAAAGTCAGGCTTTGCAGGCACTGTTCAAAGTGCTGGGGATGTATGGTGAACAAGGAACACATGGCCCCTGTTCTCCCAGAGTCTGCATTTGAGTTTAAGTGTTTGGGTGGAGAAGTGGTGAAATTAAACAAGCAGAAAACTTCAGAGTGACAAATACTTTAAATAAAATGCAACAGAGCAGTAACAGAACATGAAGTAGTATTTAAAACATTCCTTGTGCATGACGTTCCAATAGTGGGCTGAGCTACTTTAGATGGCCAGGGAAAGCCTCTCTAAAAGATGATTTTGAGCTGAGTAACAAGAGGCAGGCAACGCCCTAGAGATCCAGGCAGAAGAGACAGTTCACAGAAAGGAGAAACATCCAGGGAGGCCAGAATCCCGAGGAAGGACGAGATGAGGCTGGAGGACAGCAAAGGCCAGACCACGTGCTGTCTCTGGGCCACCGTGAGCTATTTACATTTTATTTCAAGCACACGGGGCACCGCCCCTGGAACGTTTCGAGAAGCAAGGAACACACATAGATAGACAGCACTGAGAACTTTTTAAAACATCTTAACATCTATCGTCTAATAAAAATCTTCCTACCGGGGCGCCCGGGTGGCTCAGTGGATTAAGCCGCTGCCTTCAGCTCAGGTCATGATCTCAGGGTCCTGGGATCGAGCCCCGAACTGGGCTCTCTGCTCAGCAGGGAGCCTGCTTCCCCCTGCCTCTCTGCCTACTTGTGATCTCTGTCTGTCGAATAAATAAATAAAATCTTTAAAAAAAGAAATCTTCCTACCCTTTTTATATGATAGACATTTAAGATTTTATACCAGAGAACCACTGACTCAAAGGTTCTTATTTATGTTTCGCAGCTGAAAAAACGAGGCTTGAGACTGAGCAACTCCCCCAGGCACGGAGTACGTCAGGCACAGAATCCAGGCCTCCTGCCTGGGTGGCCACAGTCCGACTGGGCCGACTCAAGTTGCTCCATCCCGATGGCCATGAGGCTGAGCACCTTCTTCCAAGAGGTCTGCATTGGGAGTGGACCCTCAGACCTTATCAGCAAATGGCAGAGAGGACAGTAGGTGAGGAATGACCATTCCTCACCTACTGTCCTCTCTGCCATTTGCTGATAAACAGCTCCACTAAGCCAGCTTCGGGCCAGTTCTGTGCCTTCCTCATCCAATGGGAGGAAAGCTGAGTAAGGCCCAGGGGCTGATGAGCAGGAGGCAGACTGGCTGCCTGCTGGTTCCTTCCAACCAGTGCTTTTTACCACATCCTTTCCCCCACGCCATTTTCAAGGCTAAATATTTTTAAGCCCCACCTTAAATTAATTGATTCAAATCTGGCTCTACAGGTTAACTGATGCCCGAAACAAATGGTTTAAAACCACTTGTAGTAACTTATCTATTGTTCCCGACTGATCACAATTCACCGAGACGTTTAAGCCGAGCAGGTTTTGTGCCGTGGGGAAATACTGAGCGGGCAGAGAAAAGGCAAAGGGAAAGTCACTTGCTCTGAGAATTACTGTCAGAGTGACCCCTCTGAGAGGCAGGTTTAGAAATCTCTACAACGTACTATTTATTGTGTGCTTTTAGATCTACCGCACAGAAACACGAACCTTAAAGTCGTAAAGAAACCTCCCAGTTTAGCAAGTTTCACTTCAGTTAAAAAAAAAAAATCTTCCCAGTGCCTAGGGAAGGGACACCAGCATGACCACAACTGGCTGCAAACAGCCCTGATTATCGGGTTAGTCTCACCTTTCGGACGCTGCGGGACACCCTTTCAAACACCTTCATTTGCTCAAAGGAAGGCAGTCCTGCATACATGGGGAGAACCCGGAGGTGTCTCTTCATCCCAGTTCGACCTAGCGCCCGAGCCTGCTCGATCAGCATAGACACGACAGTTTCCACCTCTTCCTAAAAACATCCAACCAGGAACCAAAGAAACTGAGATCAATCTGAAGCGTGTCATTTTTTCAGACTTGAAAGAAAACGAAAGTCGGGATCAAAGTTTTAATTATGGTCAGGTTCATGATTTCTAGTGTGACCACATTCTGCTTGGGGGTGGTTTTTAATCAAATGCTACTGAACAGCGGTGCCTCTGGGGTGAAAATTTGCAGGTGTCAGATTCATTACTGAAGTCTGTACTATCTGCAGTGAATAGAAGAGCTCCTGATAAACAAAACCAAAGCCTATCCTGCTCAGCTTTCAGGTACTGTGGCAAACAAAGCACATCATACATATGGACAAGCCGTAACACAAGAAATCGCTAGAAGCTTTCCCTAGAAGAGATTACGGTACCATGGAAAATGTTGACAGTGGAAAAGATTACGGCTGGAGGGTGGTTCTGAAAAGTGCTCTTGGGCTTGTTCAGCTGTACTTCCAGAGACGTGCCCACCTACCACCTCCAGGACAGGCGGTTATCACTGGGAAAGAGGCTTGCAGGAGCAAACACATGCGTAAAATGTGCCTAACGCAATATGTCATCATGGTAAACAAAAAAGCCCAGTGACTACATCATTTACTTTGGACTCAACTAATAAACTTAAAATATATTGAGTGCTCTGCAGATACAACAGGTGGGAACTAATGATTCCCTGACAACCTGGTCAATAGATGAATGACATCAATCCAAACAATTTTTTGCGCAATTAAGTAAACACAAAATACAATAAAACGTGAAATGACTGGCTAAGTAAAGGAACAGGCCCCTGTTTAATTTTGGTGCTGTCTTGACGTGTCTGTTCATCAGAGAAAATTCCAGTGGAATTACCTGGCCAGTCAGAAATGCTAGTATGTCTCCATCTCCCTCTGTCTGGTGAATTTTCATCACAGTTTCTACAGTTGATCTTATATAATCTGGAACAGGACTGAAAAGATGTATGAGATAAAATCATCACTAGGACATGCTCATTAATTAGAGATTAATTACCCTAATAATCTGGCAGCAAAGCTTCATGCAAGTTAGTTTGGGCCTGCCTGGTAGATAAACAGTATATGAATAAACAAAACAAACATTCACTCCCCCCCCCTTTTTTTTAAGGCAGCATTCAAAAGTAATCCATAAGTACATGTATACCATGATTCTTAGCTTTATTTGCAAAGAAATAAAAACCCGTGCAAACAAAGGTACTATCTTTAGCATGCGAAGATGCCTGGTTGATGAAAATCTGTTGCTGCAGTCCCAGTGCTAGATGCCACCCCCTTTCCACTTTCCCTCCTGACCACAGACAGTATGTCTGAGTCGGCTGTTCAGAGCTAATGGATATACTCTCCAGCAAGAAAAACTCACAAGTCACACCCACAACTCTTCGGATTTATCAAGCACTGCACCAGGCTCCTGGTCTTTGTCCAGTGACTAGGTAGAGGAATTAGGATAGTCTCTTCCTATCTTAGGGGACTGGACTCCTCCCAACCATGTCAACCAGGCCTTCTCGCTAAGATGTACAGAGCTAAGAACCAAATGATTCAAATCATCACCGCTGACCTCCCAGACAGGCAGTCTTGAAAAGCCCAGTTCTGAAGACTATCAAAAGCCTCCTCCTTGTAATCTTGTTACCATTTTGCTCTTTCCAACTGAGCTATTAACACAGACTCATAGAAATTTGCACATCAGTGTCAAGATTTTCAAATGCCTTCAGCGGTGATACTGAGCAGGGTTCCAGAACATCCGATCGATGACAGGAGACACACAACAGGCTCTTCTCAGCAGCCTGGGATATCGCCCTCAGGGCTTCTCATTCCATAACTCAGGCCCAGTTTGCTAATCACCATCATTAAAAACGTAAGATCCTTAAGGGCTGCATACTTTTATGGAGTAAATCTGAATGATCCTATTTCTTCGGCGTAGAACAGTGCTTATTGGTTTTTAATTGTATTTAGCTGCTGGTTGGAGCTTGAAAAAATGAAAACCTAAATAAAACAGGAGAAAATTCCCTGACTATTCAGGTGAAAACACACACACACACACACACACACAAGTATCATCAAACCTTTGTAGATAAAAGATATCCACTGGGAATGTTCGTCCTTCTACCGTAAGGATCACACAAGTATCCCTCGTTGGGTCATTGGTTTCATTCTGATTAAAGAAATCCCGAAATTTCTATTAAAAAAAAAAAGAAAAGCAATACTTCATTTCTCTCAAAAAAAAAAAAATGTTTCATGGTAACTCACTGAAAGAAAGAAAATAATGTAAAACTGGCAGAACAGGGGGTGGGTAGGAGAGAATGGATATATATATAACACAGATTAGCAGTTGCAAAAGAACTATTAAAAATCCTATTTTTATTATTACCATTTGAGGAATCACATTTCAATGCCAGACTCTTTACTAAGGTTTAATAAAAAAATAATGAAGGTTAGATTTTAAAACCATATTATTCACTAATGCATCTGGGTCAACATGTAGCTGTGGTATAACTTATTTTTATCTCCTGTATTTTAAGAGCGAATTGGGTCCAAAAGGTGTGATTCAAATTAAATACAAATTAAATCAGGTTGATGTGTGGTTCTAATCTGAAAAGCACAAATCTGATCATACAAGGTTATCAATTTATTTAAAAAGCTCTTATCTCTGGAAACACTAGGTATGGTCCTAGTGTCACAGTTATATATTTACTATAAGCTCCCCAGGCTGTAGGTACGGACAGTGTCTTCTCCATCTTCCCTTGTCCTGTGGGAGTTAGCACAACATCTCGTACGGGGTAGGCCATGCATTACACACTTCTCCGGCACTCCCCTAGTACCCTGAGCAGAGAAGGAGCTCCTGGCGGCTTCTCCAGGGAAGGTGGCTACGTCCTCTTCAGTGCCTCTGGTGGCACCTGGCCACCAGACTGGCAGTCTACAGGGAGGCCTGGCACAAGAGCTCTGGCCAAAGACAAGGCAGGGAGAGTCCACTGAAGACTGCCTCTCGGGAAATGTGACCCCAGATACACAGAGGGGCTGGCAGGGGAGTGAGCGCCGGGGGGGAAGCTGCTGTGTCAGTGGCAGAGGGACATGGAAATCCTGCCGGGAATACATCGTCTGAGTCCCACCAGTGATACGCCAGGCCCCTACAGGCCTGGCTGGGCATTGCTTCCTACTATCCTGGGAGGTCTGGCTATGTGACCATGGTCCTGCCTCCTTTACTTCCCCGTGTAGCTTTGTGAACATGCTGGTGCCGGCTCCTGGACACCGGGAACCCGGACTGCACTGAGGGCTGCATCGAGTACACTGAACGGACTTTTACAAGAGTCGACCGACTGAACTACAGAATAATGGGATGCGATACACTGACCTCAAAGTTGAAAGGAATAAGCACAGATGCAAAAGTGCCTCATGCCAACAAAAGAACCATGTTGTGCTCTGAGGAAGCCCCGGCACCATTCTTTACTCCCCCCTGGCTCAGTTCGGCTCGAGTGACTTCAGCCCTCCTGTGTCCCATGGTGTGCACAGCACAGGCACGCTACAAGTGATGCAAACAAGTGAGAAGAGACAGTTTCCCCCACACCCCAAAAGAGTGAATAATCCAGGGGGGACGGGCATGCCAAGAACCAATCCCAACACAAACCAAGGCAGAATGACCACATGACCAGAAAAAAAGCCACAAGTTACTCAGAGAGAAAAGGTCAGCACTGAGTGGCTTTCAGGAAGGCTCTATGGAGGCAGCAGTGTCCCCTGGTAAAGCCTGAATGGATGAAGATGACTATTCCTGCCCGGAAGGAGACGGGACAACCAGTCCCAGGATGAGAGCAGAGTGCAGACTAAGACATAAAGGGGCCACCGACAAAGGAGAGAGCCCAAGGTCTAAGGCAGGCCCCCCCCTCTTCTGAGTTAGTCCTCTTGTCTACAAAAGGACACACTGCCATCTACCCTGGGTGCGACTGCAGTCAGCACCGGTCTGGCTTAGACTGTGTACCTAGTCAGTGATTGTATTATCACTCTGAAGGGGCCCAAATGTCACGCTTCACAGGCATTTCATTTGATGGGCAAGACAAGGGCACTGAACACAGGCATGACATCATCAGACCTGTGTTGTGGATGCCTGGTTCAGGTGGCCATTTTGGAGGAGGGCAGGGGCAATAGGAGATTAGAGGCAAGCTAATTCAGGAAGGTACTGGAATAGCTCAGAGGAGAGAATGAAGGCAAACACCGGACAGGGGCCGGGTGAAAGCAAAGTGTGCCAGAGGTATGAGCCATGGGGCCTGGCAATCGGAGACTGTGAGCGCCCGCACGTGCATGCTGGGGAGGAGCGGGTTACTTCTCAGCCCAGGGAGAATACTTCCTAAAGCAAAGGAAATCTCAAGCCCGAATGACCATGATGAGAGAGGGACTGCGAGAGAAAAGCCAACAGTCACAGGGCAAGTCAGAAGTCTGCGAGTTTAGGCAGCTGGTGACAAGCCAGCTGCTTAGAGCTCCAGGTGGAGCACAGGAACACAATCAGGATGGCCACATGCACAAAACATCGACTGAACCAGGGCCCATGGCGGTGGGCAGCCTTAAGGAAGAGCAGCCAGCAAAGGAGTCTGAAGGGGAAGCCTCCGGGAAGCAGGAGAGAGGGGAGAACTGCGGTATCCCAAAGCGCAGATAGAGAAGAAAGATTTTAAGAACAACTTGTTGAACAGGGCTGAATGTTACCAAGTTGGCAGGCAGAACAGGGAGGACGGCTACACCTCATTTCTGAAGATGTGGTGCTGAGCAGGACAGATCGGAAGTTACTCTTTCAAGAAATAAAATTCAGCATTTACTGAGAAAGCATGAGATCTGTATCCTTAAGATATTTACCTTTTATCTTTACCTAGAAATATAAAACACGCACATACAGAAAATTACAGGCTAACCAGCAAATAAATCTAGCATCAACAGCAGACACCTCGTGAGACAGTGAAGAAAAGGCAAGAGGGAGATGAACACGAGTTCATTTCACCGGGAAAAGGACAGTGTGAGTCAGGTTTTAAACAGGTGGGATCACACCGACAGACACACAGCAAGGAACGTAAAATGACAAAAAGCAAGAGAACAGTCTAGGAAGCAGAATGTAAATGATGTGGACATTTGCCATCTTCCTTCCCCGGCAGCTGCTCAGACCTCACCCACAGAAGTGGGCTTCCAGCAGCCATGTCTACGTAACACACCCACCCTGGGCCAACAGCCCTTGATCCACACAGACTGGTCCCGAGCAGGTACCTGATCCCAGCTGACCCCCAGTTCCTTCTCTAGGAATCTGGAAAGAGAAATTAGTCTCTCTCCAAGAAACTGGACCAATGACAAAAACTGTAGGAGTTGTCAGCAACCCTATCTCTGCCATGTGGATGGAAGCAAATAAAAGAAAAACGATAGCTTGTGATACAACGGTCAAGTTGACACTTCATAGTTAGGGGCGCCTGGGTGTCCGCTGTCGGCTCAGGTCATGATCCCAGGGTCCTGGGATGGAGCCCCACATCAGGCTTCTTGCTCAGCAGGGAGCCTGCTTCTCCCTCTCCCTCTGCCTGAAGCCCCCCGCTTGTGTGCACTCTCTGTCAAATAGATAAATAAAGTCTTAAAAAAATTAATACTTCAGGGACGCCTGAGTGGCTCAGTGGGTTAAGCAGCTGCCTCCGGCTCAGGTCATGATCCCAGCGTCCTGGGATCGAGTCCCACATCGGGCTCCTTGCTCAGCAGGGAACCTGCTTCTCCCTCTGCCTCTGCCTGCCTCTCTGTCTGCCTGTGCTCGCTCACTCTCTCTCCCTCTGTCCCTGACAAATAAATAAATAAAATCTTAAAAAAAAAAAATTAATACTTCATAATTATATGTTCGTCGTGTTCTGTAAGTGCTCACATAGTTAGGCTTACATTAACGAAGCGGCTAACTCAATCGCGGCAACAGTGTGATCAGCCCCACTGTACTCCGCCTCTGCCTCCCAGCCACTGTCACTGGTGTCTTCACTGCCAGTCTGGGTCACCCTGGGCCCTGAGCGAAAGCAGAGTAGAGGGCATCTATCCCTGCAAGCAGTAGGGCTTGGAATTAGTCTGTCGCCCACAGACCTAGCAGCTGGGGCACCAGGGAGGGGGTGTGGCATGCTCAGGCCTCCAGGTCCAATGTTGCCCAAAGCTATACCCTGCCACCTCCACTCTCCCCTCATGCCCCCCCCCAGCCCCCTGCTTTCTCTCCTTATCCTCTTACTCCCACATGAGGACTCCCATACCCTGCAGGCCCTCAGTCACACAGGAAGGACTCTACCCGCCAGGTCTCACGTCATACACACATGCTGGGCAAAGATGAGTCAAGGGGTAAATGCCCCAGCCACCAAAGGCCCAGCTGATGGCTGCTAAAGGCCCAGCGTGCCCTGCATCAGAGCACCCCTAGGCCATGCCAAGTTTCCTACACTCCACTTTCCCACTTGAAAAAACTAATCCAAAAGGTCTATCTAGACCAACTGTTGCAGGCAGAATGGAAAGAAGCTCTTTTTTTATATCTCTGTGCCACACCAAAAGACAATGAAAGGATATCAGAAGCAACAGATGTTAACAATTCTAAGAATCGGACATGGTAATTTTCAAACATAGTAAAAACTGCTGGGGGGTGGTGACAAAGGTAAAAAGTAAAACACAGGAAGGCATTCTGGGCCACATAGGCATGGAGGAGATGGCAGGAGGTAAGACTGGGTATGGCCTTCAAACCGACGTTCCAGTGGGTGCCATGCTTGGTGGGGCACGAAGTAATTCAAGAGGGCAACAAAGAGCTTTCACCCAAAGGTCATCATGCGCAGACTGAAGACAAGACGCTCCTACGGCCTGTGAGAAGGTCCGAGAAACAAGCCAGGCTACACACGCAGACACCTCTCTCAGCCACGCTGAGTTTTTTTTGTTCTCTTCAACTTGCTCTGCATCCCTGAAGCCACAGGGAGACCAGGAGCCAGGAGCCAAGGCCCTTTTCAGATCTCAGCTGGATGACAGAACTGGCCCGCTGACTGATATCTCCACAGCTACTCTTGCCTCTTCTACACAACACCCAGAGTGATCTTTCTAGAACTCAAATATGATCAAGTCACTGCCACACCTCACGCCATCCCAGGGCTCCCAACCACGTGTAGGGCAGATCCTTCCTCCTTTGCTTGGCCTATAAGGCCATTCATCACCTGCTGCCTACCAGCGTCTCCATTTTAATCCCCCACTGCTTCCCATTCTATCAAAAATCACTGAACCTAGAGCATCTACTCTGTGCCAGACACTGTTTTAGGTGAAAGGGTAAAATAAAGAGTAAGACATTCGAAGTCCCCATCTTCACGGAGCTTAGATTTCACTAACAGAAGACACACAATAAACAAACACTTGGCAGGGTGCCTGGGTGGCTCAGTGGGTTAAAGCCTCTGACTTCAGCTCAGGTCATGATCCCAGGGTCCTGGGATCAAGCCCCACATCGGGGCTCTCTGCTCAGCGGGAAGCCTGCTTCCTCCTCTCGCTCTCTGCCTGCCTCTCTGCCTACTTGTGATCTCTGTCTATCAAATAAATAAATCAAATCTTTAAAAAAAAAAAAAACACTTGGCTATGCACGTAATGCTAGGTAGAAACAAGTGTTAAACAGAAAAACTAGCAGAGTAAGACAACGGAGAGCAGCAGGGTGCTGTTTCCATCAGGGTGGTCAGGAAAGGCCTCTCTGAGAGGGTAATATGTGTTCAAGACTGAGCCGAAATGAGCAAAGAGCCGTGAGAACATGTGTGTTAAGAATGGTCTAGAGAGAGGGTCTCCCCGGAGTAGAAGCGTACTTGGGTTTTTCTGAGGAACAGCAAAGTGAGGCCAGAGTGTAAGGAGAATGGGAGAGACTAGACAGAAATGAAGTCAGAGAGGTGACAAGAGAGGTGACTGGGGGGCAGAGACTGTCCCTCACAAGGCCCTACAGGCAAAGTAAGACCCCCACGTCCACTTGCCTCCCAGCCCCTCATCACGCCCCTGGGGTTCTGTGCACATTTAGGGCGCCCTTCCCCACACCTGCCCATCCGGCAGACTTCTATGCATCTTCTGAAACCAAATTAGATGCCTCACCTCTGTGAAAGCTTCTGGATGTTCTCCAGCCAGCTAGCCTTAAGCAGCCCCTCTCTGGCTGTCTCAGCACCTTGACATACTGATCTATTTTTTGTGTCTGCTTCCCAAGAAGTCAAGGAGGGTTACGAAGCACCTGTAGCCAGCACCACGCTGAGCATGTGTATATATATTTATGTATTTATATTTACATTTATATATTTCCATACATATATTTCTATATAATAAATGGTCAATATTATTTGAGTTGAACTGTTGTTTTGAATTAAAATATTAAAGGTAAGAGAGAAAAACAGTATAAACTGAGCCATAAAAATTACAACATAAATTATTATATGCACAGGGAAAACTTCAACTGCACACAAAACCTCTAAACCTCAATGCTACAATCATAAATAAACTTCAGAAATATAACCTCATACTGAAAAAAGTAATAAAAGGAAACTGCCTATGTGGGGAGAAACAGAGTACGTAGAGAAACAAGACAAGTATGTAATTATGAACTCGGTTAATTACTGGCTAATTTCCACCCACAAGCTAAAAAGGAGTATCCTCTGATTACCTGGAATCTAGGACATTAGATGGCCCCATAAGGAAGGTAGGCCATTCTGTCAAAGATAGGCTCTTGCTAAAGGTAACTTCCCAAGGACATGTCCAACAATCCCTGTGCTTACAGGGGACAGCAGGGTGAGGCGGGAAATGTTCATACCTCTGCATCCAGAGTGGCTGAAGTTACCATTAATCGAAGATCCCCTCGCTTTCTCTGAATCTAAAAAAGAAGGCATTAGGAAACAATGAAACAGCAGGATATGTAGAGATGACATGTTCTGGTACCTGCAATTTACTTCAGCATAAATCAGTGTGTATTTCTGGGGAGTCAAGCCTATAGATGAAATAAGACTGACTACAAGTTGGTAACTATTAAAGTCATAGGTAAAAAGGTGGTTCGTTATACTATTCTTCCTAATTGTTTAAATAGTAAAACTTTCCAAAATAAAAAGATTAAAAAAAAATGTTTATTGAAAGTTTAAAGGAGCTTTAGGAACTGAATTTGAATTGGCAAAGGTAAAACCATTTCTTCCCAATACCTGGATCTCTGGATAGTCAGAATCTATGCATCCCCAGTTGAAGTACATTAAAAGCAACAAACAATGAATGATAACACTGAGACAGAAATACGGACAAAAGATCTTAACAGCTATTCAAAGAAAGAAATGATCAACAAGCAGAGAAGAAACAATCATATAAAGGATAGGAAAAATACACAATAACATGATACTACTTTTTCATCTATTGCACTGCCAAAGACTTATTTAAGGCTAATACTCGGGGCTGGCAAAGATTTAGTGAAATAAGCCTCTTATTATACTGCTCCCCAGAGAATAATAAGCAGGTGGGATAATCCCTAATCACTATCAAAAGTATAAATCTTTGGCCAAAGAATAACATCATGAAAACAAGAAGAATGGCAACTAACACGTAGTAAGTGATGGGCTATTCCTGGGTCTATGCACACAGCTACACAGTACATATGCTGCACAGAGATGCCTGGCTGACAAGGTTAGGGGCATCTGAAGTCCAGAACACCCTCCCTTCCCCAAGCTGTGGACAGCCTCTGAGTGTGGGCATCTTGCTCTAATCTGTACAAAGGTGGGACCTCAGTCTATTTGTGACCCTGTGCCAGGCACCATCCAAAGAATTTTACACAATCTTATTTAAGTCTCACAAAAAATGATGACCTAGAGCAGCTCTGTCCAAGAGACCACTCTCCAGTGACGGAGAGGTCCTGTCCGATGCACTAGCCACCAGCCATGTGTGGTTACAGAGCTCTTGAAATTTGGCCAATGTGACAGAGGAACTGTACTTTTAATTTTATTCTATTTTAATTAACTGACTACCACAGGTGGCTAGCAGCTGCCATAGAAGGAAGTGTACTAGCACAGAGGTAGAAACTCCTATGATCCCCATTTCAGAGATGAGTAAACTCAGCAGTCAGAATCTGAACCCAGGCAGTCTGACAGAGCCTAAGCTTTTAATTGGTCTATCCTCTCTTTCTAGAGACCTGTGACTGGGAATATGTCCAAAGAAAACAATCAGAAAATAGAGGAAGGGAGGAGAGGTAAGACTGAAATAAGACTGGCCATGAGTTGTAACAGCTGAACCCAGATAATGAGCATAGAGGGGTCATTAGACCCCTATGTCTGAATAAAAACTTAAAAAAAAAAAAGGCAATAGATTTCATTATGAAGGTGTTGCTCATTGCCACATTATTTAAAATACTTCAGGGGTGCCTGAATGGCACAGTTGTTAAGCATCTGCCTTTGGCTCAGGTCAGGATTTCAGGGTCCTGGGATCAAGCCCCACACCAGGCTCCCTGCTCAGCAGAGAGCATGCTTCTTCCTCTCCCTCTGCTGCTCCCCCTGTTTGTGCTCTCTCTGTGTCTGTCTCTCTCTCTCTACCAAATAAATAAATAAAATCTTTAAAAAATAAATAAATAAAATAAAATACTTCAAATTTGGAAGCCATATAAACGCCTAAGAATAAGGGAAGAGTCAAATACTTTATGGTAGAGATGTATGATTGTATAGACATTATTAAATACAGTGTCTTCAAGGAATATTTAATGACACAGAAAAATGATTTTGATGTAATATTAAGAGAAACACGCAAGATACAAATTAGTGCATACACTTATCCCTCTTATGCCAAAACAGATGCACATACATACACAGACACACACACAAAAAAGAAGAAACATAGCAACATTCCATCAGTGATTTTCTCTGAATGGGTACAATTACAGATCATTTTAATTTCTTCCTTCATATTTGATCGGATTTTCCAAACTTCTACAATGACTTTCCTAATCAAGCAATAAAACAAAACAAAAACACACACAAAAAAGTCTTGCGTCAAAGTCACACCTTTTTCAGCAAGCCAATGGCAATGTCTGTGTACAAGGTCCTCTCGTGGGCTTCATCCAGCATGATGGCACTAAGAAGCAAAGGGAAGGCCTTGGTGAGCATCAATCAAACCACCCACATAATCCCACCCAGATCATCAATGGGACTTCTGTGTGTCCAGTCCCCGTGCAAGCACCCTGTATCAAAAGTTGAGCTAAGTAACTCTCCCTTGACAAGGAGGGAATTATTAAGCTAATAAAAATGGTGACACCAACATATCTTGGTGAAGAAAACAGTGTATTTATTGCTATCGTTAAAGAGCTTTATAACCCACAGTGGATTCCAATGGGACCTAATATCTGATTTTAAATTATAATATAATACATAACTCCACAGAGCACACAAAAAATCCGAACAAGTCCCCACCACGCAAAGACTCAAGCTGCAGAGAACAGCAAAAAGACACGTGATCACAGCTGTGTCCTGTGTGTGCGCCCAGGACTCAAATTTAATGCCCTTCCCCAGAATACCACAGAGCCTATGTAGCACAAAGTTGATGCCATGAGTAATGGACAAAGACACACAAAGAGGGAGACAGTGTAACTAACTATCTGGACTCTGCATATCACGTGACACAAAACACTGCCCAGTTCTGTGCTGCGATCTGCAGTCACGATCAGTCCTGGGACATAACAGGGCCAAGAGCAGGACAAGTCGACAGATTATTCAATAATGACAGGGATTTTAATGTGCCCATTTTTTACTGTTAGTAAATTCTGAGAAAGCATCAAAGGTCACAACAGCGCAGGTAAAGAAAAAAGCTTTGAGGCAGCTGAAGGCAGTCATTAAGTCCCAGCTATTAACACAACTACTTGGGTGCTTTTTGAAACTTCGGGGAAGTTATCATAGGAAAAGCACATTTACCTATATTTTGTTAACAATGGATCAACCATCATTTCCCTGACCAACATTCCATCAGTCAGGAACTAAAAAACAAAAACACAAAGTTTTAGAAATAATTCATTTACACTGTACATTAATGATTTTTTCAAAAAGTTCAAGTGTAAAAAAAGAAAAAAAGTTCAACTGTAACCAAATGCATACAATGTCTTCGCCAGTGTGTGTACAAGACAATTCCCACAAAGGACCATGAGGAAATGCTCCAACGCTTTAGCAATCAAGCAATGGAACTGGACACAAACAAGACTTTAATCATGGGGTCTTCAGCTGCGGCCTGCAAATCTTCCAGCAGAATTCAACCTGGCATTTACTATCTGAACATTGGCTCAGCCCCATTTCCTCTGGGCCTGCGCTACTGGTACTGTGGACAAACAGGCAGTGAAGACAGACCTTGTCTGCACAAAGGAAGGCCACAAGTCTGAGATCATTGTTCTTAAAATGTCCCAAAGACCGCAGACCTGCGGCTCTTAGAGTTACTAAACCTCAGCTTCGACTGCTTTTACCTTAGAGAGGCTGGAGAGGGCTGTGGTTAAAAACAGAGGCTGCGGTGTCAGTGGGCTGGGAGCCCCGATCCTCATTCTGCCTTGACTATCTGTGTGAAGCCTGGGCAAGTTACCTACTTTCTCTGAGCCTGAGTCCTCATTTGTAAAATGGAAATAATAATAAAGTATCTGCCTCAGGGGGTTACAGCGGGACTTCAGAGAGACAGTACAGGGGAAGTGTTCAGCACAGGACCTGGCACACAGGGTTCCAGGGTATCGGGAGGTACCTGGGTGGCACAGTCCATTAAGCAGCCAACTCTTGATTTCTGCTCAGGTCATGATCTCAGGGTCATGAGATCGAGCCCCATATCAGGCCTCACGCTGGGCATGAAGCCTGCCTAAGAGTCTCTCTCTCCCTCTCCTTCTGTCATCCTCTCCCTCTCTCTCTTTCTCTAAAATAAGTAAATCTTTTTAAAAAAGAGTATTAGCTATTAGTATTTACGGTTAATGAATATTTACAAAATGCTTCAGAAATATGCAGTAGTTATTACTGCCATCCAAAATAACTCAGGACTTGAACAAGGGTAACCATCTGCCCCATCCACTGTAGCTTAAGTGTTTCTACAGGATACGTTTCCTTCACATTTTTCTTGGGCCCGTTACCAGTTGCCACACATACAGCAGTGGGAAGGAGGACATGCCACTGAGGACAGGCACCAGTTACAAGCAGAGCACCTAAAATGATGACCAAATGGAATACAAACACTTCTTGTGAAAGAGCCAAAAATGACCATTTGGTTCTGTAACCCACTCAAAATTACCTACTTCAAATATATTTGATGGTACAGAAGAATATTCTCTTTACCCAGCAAAATGAACCTCAAAGGTAACAAAGTACAAAAATTTAGAAAATAAGATCTCTATTTTTACAAACCACTACCTTGTCTGGTTCATCTGATTACTTTCAAATTTCCTCTGTGGAAATTGAGAGGAAACTGAGATTCTTTTCAAGCAATTTCCATTGCACTGTTCGGCAGAGCCATGTGATGAACAGGACTCCAGCCCCGCACCACAGGGCAGATACTCAGCGACAAACACTGATAACTACAGATGCTAATTAGTTCAACAGTAGCAACTAGGTCAAAGAATGTGCAAGTTAAATCCATTATCACGTGAACATGAAAAAGTTCTAACTTGTGAAAATAATATTTGTCAATTCTATAGTTTATCAATTTATACTACCCTGTCCCTGTTTTTCAGTCTTTTAGAGGCAGGTTTCTGTATTTTGACAGCTATGCGGATTAACATACAAGAAAGGACAGCCTCGAGTCCTGGTTCTGTCACCAACGGACACATACGTCAGGCAAGTCACTCAACCTCCTGGGCCCTCATGCTCTTCATCTGTAGAACCAAGGGCTCAACCTTCTTTCTGAGGTCCCTTCTGGGCCATGGTTCAGGGACTCTCTGAGAGAGCTCCACACCTCCCCACAGACTAAACTCCCTCAAGACAAGGTGATTTCATACACTTTCTGCCCTGGTATCACAGGGCCCCAGTCAGCGGTGATGCTGCATGTTTTTAATTCCGCCCCCAGAGAATCTTCTTCCCGGTTCGAAGTAGAAAAAGCAGTGTGAGCACTTCACCTTGATTCTCGTGGCCAGCGGGTCGGTGCAGTCGTCAAAGCGGATGCAGTAGCCCACCTCGTGGCCCAGCACCGCACCCCTTTCCTCAGCTACTCTCCCTGCAACCTTTGAGAAGAAAGATCATGCTAAAAATAGAGACACAGAAATTACTGCACAGAGCGCATACTATGGAAAATCTAGTATTTTTTTTAAAATAAGTATGTGAACACAGTGGATAATGAGAAGAAAAGGGGCAGGTCATTAGAGAACAAGCATGATTTATTTACTCTGTGTCTCACTCCTCCTTCTACAACCAACCTGGGACAATTTATAATTAAGTACCATATAACAATAAGCAACATGAATGGAAATCAAACAAAGATGTTACAGATCAGGACCAAAGAAAAGGCAAATAAAAGCCAAGGAGAAAATTTTAAAACACAGATATGCCAAAATTATTTCAGGTGAGCCACAAATTCAGCACAACATTTCCTGGCAGCCGAAGCAAAAAGTGGAAGAAAGGACAAGACTCACCACAGTAAAGCTCTTTTAGCACACCAGCAGAGGAAAAATTCTCACATCTTTGTGCCTCGAAATAAAGCACCTTCCAGGGGTGCCTGGGTGGCTCAGTGGGTTAAAGCCTCTGCCTATGGCTCAGGTCATGATCCCAGGGTCTTGGGATCGAGCCCCGCATTAGGTTCTCTGCTCAGCAGGGAGCCTGCTTCCTCCTCTCTCTCTCTCTCTGCCTGCCTCTCTGCCTACTTGTGATCTCTGTATGTCAAATAAATAAAATCTTTAAAAAATAAAAAAAAATAAAGCACCTTCCACTAGACCATGAAGGTGGAGAATAGGAATGATCAAATTCAACACTGGGCCAAGGTCATCTTCTATTTGGAGGCAAAATAACATTTAACCTGAGCCAGATAATCTAAAACAATTGCAACAGTGCCCCAGCTACCCAAAGCACTGAAAGGGGAAATAAAGAAAATTAAAGCAATGAAAAGGGGCAGAAAAGAGGATGAGAAGGTAAATAAAGGATCCAAGTTAACATAATGAAGTAAAAGCAGAAAACAAAATACATAATAATATATTACAAAGACCACAAACTACAGATATATACATGACAAATAAAAGGTGAACAGAGGAAAGAGAAAACAAAACCCAAAAGCATGGTCTACTACTACCCCTAGAAGGCTATTCAAAGGTTATCAACTTATTAACACAAAATATTTGAACGATGAATAAACCAAAGTGGAAGAGCAATAAAAAGAAACTAAAGAGTTGAATATTCATGATATAAATTTAATCCCCCCCCCTTCCACAGGTGAGGCCACCTCTCCATGGACTCTGAGTCCTGAGTCTGAAACGGGGGCTGGCACAGGAGGTGTCCTGAGGCACTTTCCACTACCGCCCTGGTGTGACAGCCCTAGGGTCAGGAGCCCAAGGCTTTCCTGCTCTCAGCTTTCTAGGTATTATCTGGCCATTGGTGTTTAAAAAACTGAAGAACAGATGAGGACTAGAAGGGGTTCTGCCTCATGACTTGGAATTACAAATCTAGTAGGCCAAAAGAGAATCAATCATTCTGCAGCTGGTCCACACCATGCAGTCTCTGAAACCACCTTATGAAATCAGAAATCCATCCTACATTATTACTCTACCTCTGCAGGTTCTACTTCCTGCCAACCAGGATTTCACTGCAAAAATTTTGTTATTGTTTCAATTCTAACTCCACACATTATACTATAAATCTCAGAAAATGGTACAGATAGAAAATGTGTACGCAGAGCTACGAGGAGCTCATGGGAAAACAGGCTTGTAACAATGAGTATAAATGGACCAACCCTCGCTATAAAAATATGATCATTTTATGGGTCTAGAAGGTAAAAGCCAAACATATTTATTCTTACAATTACAATTCACTGTTTGTATACATTTGCTATAAAATATATTTTATTTTAAAACTTTTATTCTTTCATGTATGATCGCACCACAGCACATTTGAAAGGTCATATTCTATCGGCTTCTAACAGATTTTTACCTCTACTATTTAAGTTTTACTCCCATAACTTCTTCAGTTGGACTGGATAAATAGTATCTATTTGAAAGAGGCAAATAAATACAGAGAAAGGAAGGTGAAGAGAAAAAGAGAAATCACTCACTGAGCACTTCTGCCTGCAGGTTCTAAGTTTTCACCAACTATATCTCACTAAATACGTACGCAGCCCATGAGGCGGGCAAGAGACCCTCATTGGTACAAAGAAAGAAACTGAAATAAGAAAGGTTGAGAGCTTGTCCTGAGTCACAGGTCAAGGCAGGGCCTGGTCTGGAAGACAAACCCCGAGTCTGAGCCCAGTGAACTTGCTCGCTAGAAGGTGTCTCTCATAGAGATCATGCAATGGCTCACACCATCTGTTCTTGGGCTCTGAGACCGTTTTCAGAGTTTAGGCTGCATACAAAGTACTCTCTGAGATATAGCATTCAAACTTGACAGCTCTATTAATACTCCACCGTTAATGTATACACTCTTTGCTCTTTCCAGAGAAGGCATGGCGTTTCATGGAAATTATCCACAGTAACATTTGGAGCTAAATGCAAAGTGATTAAGAGCTAAGATTCTCAACTACAAAGAGAAAAAATTGCTCTAATTCCTAAGCAACTGAGTCATCTTTCCGTGATATAAAAGGTTAAGTCTAAACACTATAGTGTAGTTTCCCAACTGTTATCTCTGTATTTACTTACACACACAAGACTCAGAAAATGCCTATCGGTAATTTCTACCTTGAAGACAATTAGAAAGTGAACTCTGGGGGAAAGGATTACATAATAATGAAAACTCAGTACTGAGCAAAAGTAACTCAAGGCAAAGAATTAACTTCTTGTCTGGGTAAGGATGACAAAATAAAGGCATCCCCCATCTCCTCTTAGAGCTAATTTAAAACAAGAAATAAAAAATATCAGCAACCAGGGGTGCCTGGTGGCTCAGTGGCTTAAGCCTCTGCCTTTGGCTCAGGTCATGATCTCAGGGTCCTGGGATCGAGCCCCGCATCGGGCTCTCTGCTTGGCAGGGAGCCTGCTTCCCTTCCTCTCTCTCTGCCTGCCTCTCTGCCTACTTGTGATCTCTGCCTATCAAATAAATAAATAAAATCATAAAAAAAAAAATCAGCAACCAAACCCTACATCTTCGATGAAAGGAGGAAAGAGCCAGACACAAGCCCACACAAAGTAGGCAGCACAGCTGCCAGATGCTGTGAGGTCTGACTCTAGAAGAGACGCTCCAGCCTGTTCCCAAGCCCAGCATACTACTGGCTCTCTCAATGTAGATGTCACCACCCTAAGAGGCAGGGCAGACAATACTCACTTTAGGAAGACAAGAAGCAGCAGTGTGTTCAGGCCCAGAAGACACAGGAAATGTTTCCAGAGAGAACCATTCTGATAGCAAACAATCACCAGGGAGTGAGATTTAACAAAGAAGCTGGCAGTCAGGCAGCAAGTAATCAAGTCCTAAATCAGAGAGCCCACAGAATTTTATCGTTAGCCATTACAGACCTCTGCAATCACTAAGGAGAGCACCTCCAGATCCTCATCCTGCCCCGGCAAAAGAGGCGAAGAGATTCGGTGCAAGGCCGTGCACTAACCAGACCAGCACAACCTCATGACTCTGCAGCCATCTGTGGTCCAACTCAAAGATGAGTTATTATCATCAGAGTCCTAACGCCAGTCCACCGCAGTAAAGCCGACCAAGAAGGAAAGAGACAGGAACAGAAGCAAAACTGCAGTTTAAAAAGAAACTTTAAAAGTATTTTCCAAAGAAAGAAGTAGAAATCAGCTAAAGGGATCCAGTTTCGAAGAAATCATAAGCTTGAGCTAAAAACAGTTTAAGGCAGAAAGACAAAGTCAAAGGAGAGTCAAGGAGAAACAAGGTCTGAAATGCACAGGTCAGAAGCCAGTCTGCAGAGGTCCCCCAAACCTGCCAGCTCAGGCATGACGGACACCTGAGAGACTTTTCTCAAATTTGAGAATAATCCCCAAATTTATACAAGGCTACAAAGAACTGTTAGAAAGTTGAAGAAACTTCTCCACAGTGGCGATAATAAAAAGCAAATCTGAATCAACTATGCTAGGGAAACACTAAAATACTGCTCTACTCCCTCCATAAGAAAAGAACAGAAAATCATTCTCATGTGAAGACACGACCCAGGGGAATGTGGCCAACAACTGCAGGAAAAAAAAGATTTACAGAAATGTGCCAGGGAGGGGGTGCCTGGGAGACTCAGTAGGTTAAACAGCTGACTCTTGATTTAGGCTCTGGTCATTTCGGGGTCGTGAGATCAAACCCCGCACTGGGTTCTGCACTGAGCATTAAGCCTGTTTAAATTCTCTCTGTGTACCCCTGCGCACACATTCTCTCTTTAAAAAAAAAAAAAAAAAAAAAAAAAAAGGGCAATGTGTCAGGCAGTTAATAAAAATGTTCCATTATTTTTCTGGATTTTTTTTAATGTTTGTAATGTTACCAGCTTTTTAAATCTGTAACGTATTGCAATTATCTCCTTCCATTCTAGATATTCAGTTCTCTTTTAAAGAAAAAAAAAAATTCAAAGAGGTGATTATGAGACCCAGGAAGAGAGATAAAGGAACCAAAACAGAATACATTTGACTAAAAACAATCATGGATATTGTGGACAGGTTTGGAGACATCTTACAAAAGAAACTGGAAAAGAACAGATGATTCCAGAGATGGTAATAAACACTCAAAACGGACAAAGGAGATCTAATACACACTCATCTGATGCCCTTAGTAAAAAGAATATATGCGCCAAGACAGAACAGAAGAAAACCTGAGATTTGAGCCTGAAGACTCAAAGTTCTTCAGTATTAAGAAAAAAATGAGACCAAACAATCAACATCGAGATATGTCCTGGCACAAAAACAAGCTTACAAGCATCCAAGCAGGAAAAAGTGAGCCAGGAAGGAAGGAGGGGAAAAGCCCACTGAAACTCAGACTTCTGCACAGCGATCGTCTTGTCAAAAGGCAGTGAGTAACGTCTGCACAGTTCCCAGGGAAAGAGAGGGCGAAGCAAGAGTTTCATAACAAAGACCACAACCAAACATTCTCAGGCATGTACAACTCAGCCAATCAAGAAATAAGGCAAAATGAGCCATTCAAGGTCAGCAAAACCATGGCAAAGAATTAGTGATGAACACTGGCTCTCTTTAAACTAGAAATAAAGCTAATCAGCTGGGGGAGTTATGATTACAGAAAAGAACATGTATTTATACCCTTGAAATGAAAGTCATAGCACTGCATCTATAACAAACAGGGGAGAAAATACAGAAAGAATAAGTGGGCCTCTGCTCTTTTGTAACAGCAAACTACCTGTAACAGTTTCAAAAAGAAGTAACGGTAAAGCTTTCTGTAATCTCGTTTCTTAGTTTTCAAACTTCCACACGTTCTCGTGTGGTGAACAAATATTTCTCCAAAGTTCAGTAACTACACCTATTTCACTTCAGTTTCCCCTTTTGTGAAATTCAACAAAAGCAAACGTGGAGCTGGCATCCATTTTTGTAGAATTACTTCTATCCATCCAACGCTACCACCCATCTTCGTGTGAACAGAAGCGCAAAGCTCAGAATGACGTCCACAGATGTTCACAAGATTTTCACTGGGTGGTGACATTTTTATTTATTTTAATTATTCTTTGTTTGGACTTCCCCTATACTTTATTACTACTTAAAAATTTGTGATGTACAGGTATTAATTTACAAAAATAAGCAGCTTGTAGTTCTTTTTCAACTGAAGAATTAAACACTCAAGAGCCACCCCATATTCATTTTGGGGCTTTGAGGAAACAAGAAAAAAAGAAGTTACTGAAACAGAAGACGCAGATGGAGTTTTTGCAACATGGAAAGAAACTCACTGTAACGGCAGCCACTCTTCGAGGCTGGGTCACTCCCACCACTCTTCCTTCGGCGGTCCAGCCCGCTTCTGCAAGGTACTGCAAATAAAACCACATGTAAGTACGCATCTGACACCACTTCTCCAGAAACAATTTCTCCCAAAATAACCCTATATTGTATTAAAATCACTGAGAAAGTTAGTAACAGATGGTTCTTATCCCGGTAGACATTTTGGAAATTATTTTGCAAATGAGGGATCAGAGGCTTGGCAATCTTCAGTAACTTGCTTACGCTCACACCAGAGCTGATAATCAGAAGAACCTAGGCCCAAGTTCAACATTCTGACTCCCCAGTCTTTCAAATTTTCAAGTACCAAAGCTGCCTGAAGGAATAAACTTCTATCCACGGGCCACACAGAACAGTGCTAAATCTATAGAACAAAGAATTTTAAAGTATGCACAGAGACACATCAATGTAAATATCAACCATACAAAACATTTTAGTCAGAGTAAATAAAAATAACTGGGGGCGCCTGGGTAGCTCAGTCATTAAGCATCTGGCTTCGGCTCAGGTCATGATCCCAGGGTCCTGGGATCAAGCCCCACATTGGGCTCCTTCCTCAGCAGGAAGCCTGCTTCTCCCTCACCCACTCCCCCTGCTTGTGTTCCCTCTCTAGCTGTGTCTTTCTCTGTCAAATAATTAAATAAAATCTTTAAAAACTAAATTCATTATATAAAATAACTAGATTTTGTACATGTGTATATACGCCATTATATCAATACACATAAAATTCAATGGTATGTATTTATCGGATTTATGTATTTATTTATTTATATATTTATGTATGTATTTATATATGTATTTATTTACTATATATACTTATTTGTTATATAACCATTTGATCGTATACATTTTTAAACTCCAAAGTGGGTAACAGCTATTATCAGTGACACATTTTTATAATGTCTAAATTGTTTCACAATGAACATATATTTTATAGTAGGACAAAAATTTAAAATCCTACTACATGTATCTGCTCACTTGTTCAAAAGAAACAAGGGAAGAAACTAAAGAGAATGGTTGTCGACAGAGCATTGGGAAGGGAGGAGGAGAACTGGAAACAGGGCAGCAGGGAATGAAGAGAGAATGACGATGCTCTGAGTCGAGGTTTCTGGGGAGCTCTGACTCAGACCCAGGCATGTTCCACATGCTCTTCAAGTGTCCAAGACGTAAACAAAACCAACCAAGATGTACATGAAGGGAAACCAGGAGGAAATCCACTAACAAATGGCCCTTCCTGTAGTACAAATGAATTACAGGATCACCCCGAAGGGAGCGGAGAAGACACAACCTAAGTAACTGGAGAACACCGTCTGGCCTGGATACTGTAAAGCCAAAGACAGAGAACCGTGATCTAGTTAGTAAATGTGGGTAAGCAACCAAATGGGGGTATGGGTTAGTAATTCTAGAACTACTTTATGTTTACATTAGAATTCAACAAATAAGTTAACATATTAAAAATAATGAGGAATGAGTTTCTCACTGTAGGAGAAATTTACAAACAAGGAAAGGCTAAAATGAGCCCCATGGCATTGGATTACCATCAGAAGTATCAGCATAAATTCATGGTTTTTAATACATATACAGATTGATACAGATATACAGATGTTTTCATGTGTGGGGATTAGCAGTCCCATCTATATTTCCTAAATCAACCCACTGAGACTTACAGCAATGACACCTCAGAGCAACGAGCACTCTACCTCCCAATTCTTGATTTCTAAACACCATTCTCCAATAAAGGAACCAGGACTCCCTGGAGAAGTGTTCGATCCCAGGGCTAGTGCAGGGAAAATAGAAGACAAGCCTGAAATGCCCTGTAGTACTAGAAACTAAGGAAAGGTTCAAAAAAAAGGGAAAGAGGCTTTAGGAAAGAACATAGGATCTAACTAAAGGAGCTCCTAATGATCACAGTAACAAACTAAAAAAGACAGTACTGCATTTTAGGCCATCGAACAAAATATATTCCCATGAATCCACACTGATGTACAGAAACAACTGAATAGATAAATGAGGGAGAAAGGACAGTTCTTCCTTAGAGAAGATTCCATTTAATGAAGGAAAAGGGGAAAGAGAAAAGCATCAAGCAAATGCCTGAGTAAGTGCTCAGACAAGATCCACTGAGGGATGCTAAAATTAGGAGGCAAAAGCTTGAAGGAAAGGGGAGTCTGAAAATATCTCCCACCAAGATATTTACCAACTACCAAAAGGCAAGACAGTAACTTAGGAGGCAAAACCTGGCACCTGAACCAAGGTTAACCTTGGCCAGTGATCAGACATCAGCATCTCAAACCCCATGATACAATGCAGTGAGGAGGACACACCATTTCTATGGTATTCTTTCCCCAAATGCACCACCTCATTCTAACCATGAGAAAACATCATACAAATCCAAACTGAGAGGTGTTCTATCACATAAATGCCCAGCACGCTTCAGAACTGTCAAGGTCCTGAAGGATGAGGAGGACTGACTGCGGAAACTGTCCCAACCTAGAGAAGATGGGGAGATACAGCAACTCACTGCAAAGTGAGGTCCTGGACCTTGGAGCTAGAAAAGGACACCAGTGAGAACACTAAAGAGATGTCTAAGATCTGTAGCCCAACGGCTGCACCGTACCCATGGCGATGCCTGCTTTTGGTTACCGCACCAGGGGAAGTGGTGGGAGAGGTTTAAGGGAATTCTGTGCTATTTTTGCAACTGTTCTGTCAGTCCAAAATTAGCTAGAAATAATAGTTTTTTAAGAAGGACTGTAAGGAACAACATGTTTTAGATAATGTAGGTTTTTGCTATAAAAACTGTAAAGTTTCTCTCTCTTGTATTAAATGCATAAGCAAAACACTACCAGCCACACCAATCAACACAAAGACAAAAAACAAAACTACGAGAAATAACAGCTAAGATTCACGGACTATGTTATTAGGTGCCAGACACTGCTGAGCACCTTGCCTGCATAAGCCCGTTTCAACCTCACAACAAATCTATGAGGAAGGTAATGGCATCATCAACAATTTAGAGATAAGCAAACAAAGAGATCATACAACTTGTCCAAGGACCTGGATAAAAATCTAAGAGCTGGGATTTAAGCTCGGCAAATCACGGCCGTGCCACATAACCAGGACACGATTCTACCATCCAAAATAAAACACACATACTTGTAGTCAATCTCTTGGTAACAGTGGAAAGCAAGAGAAAAATAATTTCCATAATAATAAACAACCTGCCCATGAAGCCATTCTCCTCGATACACCTGTGATTCAGACTTCTGCATGCTTATGACTGCTGACAGATGGAAATTTAAAGATGCTGCAAAAGCTGGAAGAGTGTTGCTATCAAAAGGAAGTGGATGTCACGCTGAGTTCCATCTTCGCTCTTTTTAAGGGTCACCAAATCTGGTGTTCTCATTAAGGAGTGGGATAAGGAAGCACTCCATCAAAAACAGCGCTAACAAAAAGTGTAGCAAAGAACTTGTTTTCATCGTCCATTGTTTTGACAGAGCTCTGGGGAAAAAAAAAATCATCTAGGTTCCACAAATAGTTTGTGAAATTTCAAACGGGTGCTTGGTGCTTTAGCATGTGGTACTTTTCCAAGGAAAGACATTATATAAATCCAGCAAGACGGTGCATTGAGAAAAACCTGCTCCACATTTTCGCTGTGACCTTCAGCTCCTCAGCCTGTCCAATTTTCCTAGGCCGTAACTCAAATTAGCGTCCCCAGGAGTCGTGGCGGTCTCAGGGAAGCAGAACTGCATGGTGCGGGGAAGAGGGATGGTCCTTCCCAACAAGGGGTGGCAGGTATCCAGACCAATAATATAATCAACTATCACACAAGGACCCATTCATCAATTTCACCAGCAAAGTTTCAGAGAGTCACTCCTCATCATTTATTCTCTGTACTTTTTGAATTCTGCACCATGGGAATGTATTCAAGAAACACAGTGCTTGCAAGAAAACACAGTTCCTTAAAAGCAATTAATTAATTAATTGCCCTCTGATCCAGCAACTCCCTAACTACTGTATTTATTCTGTAAGTATACCCACACACGTGCTAAATTACATGCAAACTGACTCACTGTATCACTGTGATCATACAAAGCTGGAAACAACCTAAACGCCTCTCAGCTGGGAATTGGTAAAATAAATTATGTGTGATCTACGCAAATGAAAAATGATACATTAAGGGGGAAAAAAACAAGGTACCTTAAAGCACGGACAGATGCTACCTATTTGTGTTTTAAAAAGAGGGGATATACACACACAAACATAGTTCTCTGTAAATGCAGTAAGAAAATCTCTTGAGAAACTAATGACATCAGTTTTATCCACATACAGGAAATGAGCACCAGAGGGCAGGGCAGAGGAGAGATCTTCTTATGTCTTTTCACGTCTCTTAAATTGTAAACCATGTGAACCTATTAAATAATTCTCCAAAATTAAAAAAAAAGTTTTCTTTGTTCTCCACATTGCCCAGGCCGGATCCTCAGACCCTGCTCTTCCGCCTCCAGGCCATTCTTTCCCCGGACTCACCCCACAGCAGGGCCTCTCTGTTCCCGGGCAGCTAAGCCTTGCTGGGGGAAATGACCAGATCGTGGTGCTGCACTGTATCACAGATCCAAATACCTGCCACCCCCACCCCAACCGAGGCAGGATTACACGTACCGCAACCCGACCACTACCCGGCCATGAAACCTGCCTTGTCCAATGAAACGTGAGCAGAAGTGCCACTTCCAGTCACATGTTCTAAAACCTAAGCCATCTCTTAATCCTGCCATGTACCCCAAGACTCCCAGGCCCCATCTTGGGTCATCTCCCACCCTGGGTCATCAACCCAAGAAGACCACAGAGTAGGACGATGAAATAAACCTTTATGAAATAATACAGCTTCTTTTGCCTAGAGGCCACCGTGTGCTGTTGTCCTTTCTCTACTGCTGTCTGCTCCCTTCCACTTACCTGTCCCTAGCTGCTCATGGGAGATCACCCAGGGACCTTTTAAGAAATAGCTATGTCTGGGCCACAGCCTAAATCCATTATTGGTTTGGGCAAAAGAAGCTGTATTATCTGTTCTGTAAGCTGAAAAACAGAACTAATCTGTGGGGTTAGAAGCCAGAATGAGAGATATCCTTGTGTGTTCCCCAGGAAGCAGGAAGAGAGGGCAGGAGACCAGAAGGGGACACAGAGGACTTCTGGGGCTCTGGTAATGTTCTCTTCTGCTTCTTGATCTGGGTGCTGGTTACACGTGTGTATTCACTTGTGAAAGTGTATCAAGCTGTACAATTAGGATGTAAGTACTTTGTGATATGTTTTATAGTTCTATAAAAATCTACATCAAAAAGGGAAGAACGGCCTGCAGTGACTCTCATCCTTGACCACTGACGTATCATTCTTCACCCTCCGAGTCGCGGCTGTCTTTCCACTCTTCCTGAGTCCCAGACACTTCTCACACCCAAGTATCTCTGCCACAGTATTTCCTGGATAAGAACATCTTCTTGGCCAGCTCCCACTGGTCATTCAAAGTCTACTTCAAATGTCATTTCTTTTACAAAGCCTTTCCCGAGCCTTCTGTCCACTTCTGTCCACACTAGACAGCGGCTTGCCTCGTAACGGGGGCTGCCTTCCACAGCATCATGAAATTCTTTGGTAGTCTATATTTATTTACAACTAGAGCAGTATTCATTCATTTCACCATCCTCTTCAACTGTAACTAGTTGAGGACAAAAACCAGGCATTATACCTCTTTGAGGGAGTCCTCACTGTTCCTTCCGAGTATGGCTATTCAATCATTATTTTGGAATTATAATAAATCAAAGACAACTGTTACTTCGATGGTCATCAATCACAAGAGCCAAAAGCTGAATAAAAAGTATCTAGTTGGGTTGAATATATTCTGACAGAAGATCTTTAAAAAGCAAATTATAGTAGAGTTCTCAAATTATAAACCCCTTCCATCCAGGGCGCCTGGGTGGCTCAGTGGGTTAAAGCCTCTGCCTTCGGCTCGGGTGGTGATCCCGGGGTCCTGGGATAGAGCCCCACGTCGGGCTCTCTGCTCAGTGAGGAGCCTGCTTTCCCCCCTCTCTCTCTGCCTCCCTCTCCACCTAGTTGTGATCTCTGTCAAAAAAAAAAAAAAAGCAAAAAAAAAAAAAAAACCCCTTCCATCCAAATATAAGTGCAAAGACACATATGAGCATATACTCACTTGTGGGATCTGTGTGCTTTTCCCACATCCCGTCTCTCCAACAATCACCACTGTCTGATAGTTTTCTACCAAGTATAATATATGATTCCTAAGCTGAAAAATAGAAACATACATTGTAAAGAGCCATACATTTTCTTAAAAGACCTAAACAAAGATATTTAAACATTATAAATGTTTAAATGAGTTGTTTGAGCTGTCTGCCAAAGGAAAGTAAATCTTAAAAAGAACTATCAAAATAGATTCCCAGTTTGCAGTGCTGGTGACCACATAGGCTGAAACAAGTACAACTGAGAGCAGTAACTTAACAAAGTATGCAATGCAGATACCCTTTAACTCAAGATTTTTCACTTACAAGAAGTTATACTGCACATACTAACACTACATATGAAAGAAGAGGTATATATACAAGCATACTCACTGAAGTGTTTTGTTTTGTTTTTTTTTAAGATTTTATTTATTTATTTGACTGACAGAGATCACAAGTAGACAGAGAGGCAGGCAGAGAGAGAGAGAGGGAAGCAGGCTCCCTGCTGAGCAGAGAGCCCGATGCGGGACTCGATCCCAGGACCCCGAGATCATGACCCGAGCCGAAGGCAGCGGCTTAACCCACTGAGCCACCCAGGTGCCCCTGAAGTGTTTTTTATAATAGCCAAAAATTCAGCCTAAATGTTCATCAACAGGGTTAAATTAGTTATGAAACACTCCAACAATGGAATATCCTTGGGTGCTAAAAAGAACAAATGTCTATTGGAAACAAAATGAGGGTTGCTGGAGGGGAGGGGTGCAGGCGGATGGGGTAACTGGGTGATGGACATTAAGGAGGGCATGTGATGTAATGAGCACTGGGTATTATATAAGACTGATGAATCACTGAACTCTACCTCTGAAACTAGTAATACACCATATGTTAATTAACTGAATTAAAAAAAAAAAAAAGAGGGGCGCCTGGGTGGCTTAGTGGATTAAGCCTCTGCCTTCAGCTCAGGTCATGATCTCAGGGTCCTAGGATCGAGCCCTACATGGGACTCTCCGCTCAGCAGGGAGCCTGCTTCCCCCCTTCTCTCTGCCTGCCTCTCTGCCTACTTGTGATCTCTGTCAAATAAATAAATAAAAATCTTTAAAAATAAATAAAAATAAATAAATTTTTAAAAAGAACAAATGTTTATTTGCACTGATAAGGAATGGCCAACAAGATATGTTAAGGGAGCAACTCAAGGTGCAAAACAGTATAAATAATACTCTACTATTTTTGTTTTTAAAGAAAGGATACATTCATGCTATGTACAAGCTATCCTGGCAGGAAATAAAACAAAACAAAAAACTGGTCATTGTACCATCTCCAGCAGCAGAAGAGAGTGGCCAGGGAGCAAGGGTGTGAAGGAGAGCTTTACATTTCCTACAAGTTCTATATTATCTAGTTACAAATTCTTTCATTTATTAACTGAGGGGAAAAAAAAGACAAAAGAATATGCTTTCACCTCTACCTCTAAATCCAAGTTCGTAATAAAGCTACACCTGTATTTCAACTGAGCCCTTCTTTACCCATTCACTGTGAGCAGAAAACGGAAGAGATGATTCCACGTGTGCTGAGACACACCTGACAGCCTGGAAAGTCATGAAGGTATTCCGTAAATACCTGGTCTGGAATGCCGCGAACTCTGCCAAGACCCCCACCCTTACTGCTCGGCCCATCTGACTGGGCCCCAACAACGCAGTTGGACTGGGAGAGTGAACACGCTGCCTAACTGCCTCACTAAAGTACTGGCTGCTTGGGGTTTTTGAATTTGGCATTATTTGGGGTCCAAATATATAGCTCTCACATTTTAGTGTGAAATCCTCTTAGGATATTTGTTAAAAATGAAGATTCCTAGCCCTACTCCGAGGGTTTCTGACTCAGTTGGAGTAGGGTGGGGCCCAGGAATCTGCATTTATCAACCCTGCACAGCAGATCCTGTTACAGGTGGTTTCTCTTGATTAGTCTAAACATTTTTTGTCAGTTGCCTGGACTTGGGGCTTGCTTTCATTTTGGGTAGGGGAAGGCAAAAGGTTTGGGATCTTTGCAGGTACTTTGTGAATGGTAGATCCAACCAGTGGGTGGGTGGATGGATAGATGGATGGATGGTGGATGGTCAAGGAAAACTTGAAAGACAATCTGAATACAGACAGAAACAGACAAGGCATTCCAGGAAAGGGAAATAACATAAAAAGGAAAAAGATGGAAACAAGCAAACTATACAAACTCTATTCCAGGGCCATCATCAAGAGCCCACAAAAGGATCGAGGTGTGGTTGGGAAATGAGTTACAGATAGATAGTTACAGACAGATAGTCCCGGCTTCCCTAGCAGAGCTAGAGTCTGGACCTTCCCTGGCCTGTCAGTGCCGTACCAGATGAGACCGAGCCGGAGAAAACTGAAGGCCGTAACTCACACTTTAGATACTAGGTAAGATGGGCTGCACATGGAGAAGGTCCAACATGTGACATTCGAGAGAGACATGACAAGATTTCCAGTCTGGAGACTGCAAAAATGACAGCAGCACCCACGGGCGAAAGGAGAGAAATGCACAAGGGCTGGTGCAGAGGAGGGGACAGAGCTTCAGGGAGGCGGCGTGTAAGGGAGTGAGAGGACCACCTCGCATAGCAGTGATCAGGCCCCAGCAAGAACACCACCCTATAGAAGGCAGTCGAGAAGGCCGCCTTGTAATGGCAGCAGGGGAAAGGGAGTAACTTTTTATTTATTGCCCCTTATAGTTCCAATTTCTGTTTTTAAAGCTACTTTTAGTTTTAATGGGGGAGGGGTTGGTGAATGGGTCCCTTTTACCCTTTTCATCTTCTAGATTTATCTTTAACATCTCATGAGAACCTAACTATGCTTAACTTCTGTTTTGCTTTTTACCAATAACCCGTACGATTTTAATTTCCATCAATATGTTAAACCTTGATTACTTTTTCATTTGCTTTATTTATAGTTTCTTGTAAGTTCAGTTGGAGGATGAAGAACACTCAAGAAAAGGTCAAAATTAAATACTTGGTAAACAATAATTATCTGTGTATTTGAACACTCATCATATGTCAGAGACGTTGCTAAATGCTCTGTGTGGATTATCTCATCTGGGCCTCATAACGATCCTGTGAGGTGCTATTAGTCCCATATTACAGATACCAGCACAGAAGCTCAGATGGTGTTTTGTGCTGTGAGAAAGCACAAAGACAAGGAAGTTCGGGTTTGAGCTTTAAAGTCTAGCTCCAGAGTTCTGGTACTTCAGCAGAGCTCAAACTACATCCCTCAACAGTGAGGCAGCAACAGTGAACCTATAATCTTATCTCCTGAGGGGCAAACTGGTTTACCTTCACATATACTGAATGCAGTTAATCAACTGAGAGAGAAACCCAGAAAGGTCAGTGAGTGACTAAAATGTTCAGGGCCACATAAAACTCTAATCTAGGTGACTTGGCTAAGTTAAGAAGGATTCTGTTTCAAATCAATTTGGAGAAAGCCCATATTAAGAGAAGAGGAATGATTAACACCGTCTAGACAAAGGGACACTCTTAGTGTGAGAACTTAGGAGCTTTCCCCCAGCACTGTACAGGAGAAGGAGACAGCGAGCCATGGGTGCTGGTGGCCACACCTACTGGTGTCATTCCAGGGGCATCACGTGAGGCTTCAAGAGCACATCACCCTTCCTCGGGGGCTATACGAAAGAAACATCCTTCAGCTCTATCTAAATGGCTCTTGGTCTACAGCTCCCTTCCTGATTACAATCTGGCTTCCCATGTGGTCTTGGCAACAGGGAGAAAGCGAGCCCATGTACCATGTGTGTCTGCACTAGAGAACTACGGCTATAAACAAACGAATTCTGAATTCTAGTGTATGCTTTGGTCTCTTGTGAAATGAACATACGTCCATTTCGTGAGACCAATAAAATCAAGTGCTGGATGTGCACACAGTACACAATATCCACCAAAATCCCGTCACTGTGTCAGTGGGAGTTAACTTCTTCCACAGAAACCTCCTCATATATCCAAAGAGTCTTGTTTAAAGAAATTCGCCTTTAAAAAGAAAGCTAACATTGGCCATAGGCTAGTAATCTGTTGAAGATGGAGGCACAGGAGTTCATTGTTCTGTTTTCTCTACTCTTCTATATGGCTGAATTTGTCTATAATTGAAAGCAAAGAAGGGGAAAAAGATATGTCGTTCCATCCCTTCGAGTTTTTCATTTTGTAACAATATCTAACAACAACAACAAAAAATTAAGGACTTTCAAGATTTATATGGTTAAGTAACACACACATATTCTGAGCTTCATCCTCTCAGATAAGGGCGGCTCTAAGCTCACTGTGTCCTACAGAATCGCTAAGAGTAAGAGGACATGATTCACTTTGGTACCAAGTCTGAAGTCTGAGGCCACCGCACACTGCTTCGGGCCAACCGACTGCGCATGCTTATTTGGTGTACCTTGAACACGGGCAGCTTCTGCCTCTGCTGCTCGACAGAAAGGGCAGCGTAGGGATTGTAGACAACGGTTGTTGCAGAGTTTTCAGCTAGACTCTGTCTCTCCTCAGAGATGCTGACACCTGGTCCCTCAGTACCTGTAAGAGAAATGCTTTTCTCAGATTCTCTGATGCAACCAATGGACCGAAAAATGTGCAGACATTACAAATTCAAAGGCAAAGATACAACACAAACAATGCATTTGACCTCAAACCACTAGAAGATACTCAACTTTAACTTCAGGAGAGCATCTAGCAAGGGCTGAGAGAATACAAAAATCTTCCCTAAAAAGCTTCACCACAGCATCAAGAACCGAGAGGAGAGTCCCACTGGGCTCCAAATTGGCCACAAATAACTGTATTCCAGGAGACAATGTTTCCCGGTTACTAGCAATTACTACTCATACAAGCGACAGAAACCCAGTGGGAACTGGCTGAGGCGCAGGAAGAGGGCTGCGGCTGCAGTGGGCGCGGCAAGGACGAGGGACAACAGGAACCAGGCACGCAGATGCTGAGGGGGCTTGCTCCTTCTCTCATCTCAGCGCCTCTCCACCAGCTCCTTTCGATCCCTCAACTTGGCTTCGGGGTAGGAGCTGGAATCAAGGCCGCTCAGGCTCACAACTCCAGGCCATCCACTCACTCACTCCACAAGGACTGAAATGCAAGAGATACCACAGGGAACACTCCCGATGCTAGGCCCTATCCTCGAGCAGCTTACTTGCTTCTTTTACCCCTCCTCTCAGAACACATGCTAAGGAGAAAGTAAAAGACTCAGCAAGGGGGGCTGGGAGTCCCTAGTATGTGGGGTCTGGAGGCCGGGAAAGGGTCCTCTTCCCCCAGCACAGGTCCAATACCCAGCCTGATGCAACCAACCATGGCCAGTGGAATGGGATGCAGGAGACAGCAGCCCCCATTTTGAACCACAGACCTGGAGTGGTTGGGCGTGAAGTACCATTCCAAAAAAACCACTGTGCTGAGCAGATTAAATGACAGCTTTCCACGATGGCTGCTTGGTAAGAACAATGACGAACTGGTGCTCAGGATGGTGAAAAATGGCCATATCCCATCATGTAAAACTCTTAAAGGTACCATGGATTTTAGCCTTTGAAGGAAAACGCCTTAAGAGGAACATGGGTTCAATTTTTATGGTCCGTTTCCAGAACTTTTCGTGCCGATTTGTGTGTGTACCCCTTGGACAGAACTCAGAGTAGTAAGTGACACAGGGTTTGGAATTCAACGCGACACAGGAAGCTATTTTCAAAGGTTAGAGTTTTGAGCACCGGGGTGTAATGCCTCTGTGAATCATAAAAACCCTTCCTGGAAGATCAAACATGGGGGCACTACAGGGGTGATTATCCAAAACCAGCATCTCCCAGGACTTCTGAACTCAGAGTCTGATGCCATGTGAAAGTACAGGGGCTTTATGAGAAGCACCTTTGTCCCAGTAACTTATTTTTACATTTTTTGCAAGTCCCAAATCCCCTCAACAATCTAATAAAGGCTATGGACTCCCTCTCCTGAAAAATACACCTGAATGTAATGTATCGGGATAGAAAATGCTCATGGTCCGTAAACCCCCTAGAGCTAAGTATAGAGTCACTGTCACAGACCTCTAATCCCTTCTCCATTTATTTCTAGGAACACAGTTGTGTTCCAGAGGTCCAAGATTGCCAAAAATCGTGTAAGTGGGGCACTGCTGTATTGTTTTTGCCAAAACGCTGACCTTCCTTTCAACAAGATAAAAGATAGAACAAGACCTGGAACAAAGCCTGTGCTCAAAGAGGCAGGTTTCCTTTCTTCCCTTATTATCGCCACATCTAAATAACTTCTTATAACCCTTCCCCATGAAAAGTACTGCAAAGAATACCTCATCCTCATCCACTGCTTTTGTCACAAATTCCCTCCTTTTTAAAACACGTTTTAAACTTTTCCAGGCTGTCTTAAAGCCATGTTAGCATCACTCCTGCAAGGTCTCTTCCTTGCTCCCACACCAGGGTTTAATCGACCCAAGGGTCTTCTTCACTACCCCTCCCTGGCTCTCCCCTACAGCCAAGTCCTCCTCAGTATATTCTGTCATGAGATGTTTTACAAGAGCTACTGTCAATCAATAAGGAGTATGTCTCCTCCTCACAAAAGACTTCATTCAGCCAAGTGAGGACTGCCTCCCCTCTATGTACATCCCACAGTCCATTCTGATGACCTATGGTTGCCCTTCCCTCGGGAGCATTCTCTATACTTAAGGGAGTAACAAGTTCATAATCCTGCGAAGCACAAATGCCTTCATTTCTCCGTCTACAAACATGGCCGGAAACAGCAGCCCCCAACCACCCCCACAGAGCATTCCCTCACCTTTCCATTTTTTCAATTCAGTTTTTCAATTTGAGTGATGCCCCATTAGTGGGTTATGGAATGAATGTAGAGGGGTCACAAACGGCATTTTTTAAAAATAATGAACTAGAAACAGAACAGCGTTATCTCTTGCTTTACCGCAAAATATATCCTATCACTCAACACCATCTCGCTACTCAATTACTTTGGTTTTTTGGACACTCCTGAGGCATGCACACATCCCACTTTGCCTTGGTCATGCTGCACCCTCTGCCCAGAGCTCCATACTCCTACCTTTCCAAGGAACAAACCTTATTTGTGTTTCACTGTTCACCTCAAAAATATCACCATCTTTATGAAGTATTTCTTATCCACACATAGAATCTTTCCCTCTCTTCTATGCCTCTATGTAATTAAAATAGTTAACATGTATCTAGTACTAAGAGCTTTACATGCATTCTCATTTAATCCTCAAAACAATCCTCCCGTTAGGTGCTGTTATGCCCAATTTACAGATAAGGTCACTGAGACTCTGCGCACTTAAGTGAGTTTGCCAAGTCAGCAGGTTAGCAAGTGGCAGTCAAGGACAGCTTTACAGTCTGACTCATAGAACTTATCTCCCCTACCACCACTTCCTTCTGCCTCACTTTAATACCTCTTCTAAAGGATATCTAACTTCACATCATAACTTGAGAGAGAGAGAGAATAAATCTTGAGAGCAGAGCAGCGGTCTGGTCATCTGTATTTGCCTCCTGATCACTCAGTTAGGCGTTCAGTACGTATACCCTCAACAAAGGAACTAAAAAACAGAACAGAACTCTTCCAGCAACCCCATGTTCTTTAGCCAAAATAGTATTCTGTTCTGATTTGCGACAATTCATTCACGCCTTTATTATACTTAACGCTTTGGCCTGTTTTTAAAGGCTTGAGTAAATAAAATAGAAGGTATCTCATTACCTAATGCAATCTTAGTTCTGGCTGAAAATAAAATTCAGGAGGATAACTGGCTAATGATTTGAAATACTGGATAAAACTGTCACTAAGGGACAAACTACAGATTTTTAAAAAAGAATTAACATCCCTTGCTTGGTCTTATCTCCCACATTACATATATGCATGGTTAGCATCTCAGGGCACCACTCGAAAATACCCTTTAAAAGCTTTCCCTGTATTACCTTCTCCATCTCATTTCATTTTTGCTGCAATATACTTTGCACACCTGCAGAGGTGCAAGTGGTAGAAAAAGGCAAGCTGATTAACTGATAAGAAACTTTTGTTTTTCACAAGAAACTGATGGAAGGAGAGGAAGGCATCTAGCAGGATCTGGCAAGTACACAGTCAATAAAATCCTGATTAATAAGGAAACGAAAACGCATCAGGCAAAGCATTTTGTGACACATTCCTGTTTGCCTGAAAGAGGGAAAGTGGGTGACAGCCAATACGAAGGAGGGCGGTCACTTTCTGGTAGGCACTCAAGATGGGCAAGAATTACCCTAAAACAAAATAAGGCACTTTCCCTTTTCTGTGAGCACTTACTCTGGGTCAGACAAGGCACCGTGCTCGTCATTCAAGCCCACAGGACAGTTATTACTCTACCCATTTCACAGGAGGAGGCTAGGACTCAGAAAAACTGAGTGACTTGCCCAAAGGAACTCTGCTACTATAGGGCACAGCCGAGAAGTCGAACCCAAGTAACCCGACTCCACATTTGAGCTCCTATGCCCTGAGCAGCACCGCTCGCCCGGCCACAGCGCAGCCCCGGGCGGTAACAGGACACGCGTGGGCGCTCCAGCGCTTCCCCAGCGTTGGGCCAGACAGGCATCACGCGTGAGGAAAACGAGGCCCGGGGAAGCTGAGACTCGAACAAGGTCACACAGAGAGTTTCTGCCCAGACTGGGGGGCGGACGCCCGAATCTGTCGGGACCACTGTGGGCGCCCGAGCCACAGAGCCTATTAGCTCTGAGGCGGCGGTGGCCAGCCCGCCGAGGTCAGGCCTGCGAGCAGGTCCTCAGGCTCCAGGGCGCCGGCTGCGGGGCCAAGACCAAAGTCAGGCCGCCGCCTCTGCCCAGCGTTTCTCCAAGGGCCTTACCGGGTCGCCAGAACTTCACCGGTCCCACGGGCGCAGCCATGCTGGGGTGAAAGGTCACGAGGTTGACTCCACCCCTCCGTTGCGCGTGAACCCCCCGGAGGGGCCGGGGGGCGTGGCCCGCGGGGAGTCTCGGCCCCGGCGGTTCCGGCGGAGTTACGGCCACGCCCCCGTGGCCTCCACCGCCCCCCCCATCCACGTGACCTACGGCAGGTTTCCAGGAGCGCTCGGGCCCGGCCCGCTCACCCACGTGACCGGCCCCGCCATATTGGGGAAAAGGGAGCGGTTCTCAGACTTTTTTAGTGCGGTGTGTGAGGGTTCGAGGTGGTCTTTCCAGCAGCGTGGCCTGGGCAGCTTGGCGGCCACGCGGAGATGATGCATCCCAAATGAACTGCTAAATACTGATTATGTTACAAGCTGCACCAGCTTGATCGTTTCTCTTTCAGTCTTCTCCATATTAAGAGCGGCTGCCTCCAATAAATAATTGTTGGGAGCCCACTGTATGCCCAGGTACTGCATTTTCGGCCCCTTAGTGCAGCGTCTGTCCAAGGTGGGGGTGACGTTGAATAGTAAATGAATAAATGCTCAAGAAACAGTAGTATTTATTATCACCGGTGAATAAAACAATGGAAATCGGGGAGGGGGTTTGGAATAAGAGTCTAAGAAATGGGTAGATCAGTTAGGCTAGGACACTAACCCAGTGTTTCCTCCAGTCTGACTGCTTTTAGGATTCCAGTTGCTTATTAAAAACAGATTCTAAGCCTGGATCCAATCCTGAGTCAGAATCTCCAGGGGTGTGGCCTGGGAACCTGCATTTTAGGAAGCTGCTCAGATGGTTCTTCCAATCAAAGAGCTAGAGAAAATTCCACTAATCCCAAAAAGAGGAAATGTTTTATGGGTAGGCCCTTAACTGGAAGGGAGAGGCTTCAGAATTTATGCGTTTTTAGAGCTGTGACGAAAATTTTGCGTTCGTTGTAAGAAATGGCATACCCTGGAAAGATCAAGAGCCTTGAAGATAAGTAGAGGTGATTGGGAATCCTAACTTTGCCATTTCGTCAGGCCTAGCTGTCATCTAATCTTAGTTGTAAAATGAGGTCTTCAAAGGTTCTGTTAAATGAGTTAACATGTAAAACACCTAACAGTGTAAGACATAAGCATTCAGTCAATGTTAACTCTCCTTAATTTAAGTAGAGCAAATCCACCGGGGGCGGGGGAGATCAAATTTACCGGGATGCTTTCATTTTCCAAATATCCCCTTTATTTCCATAATAATAAATATAGGGCTCAATACATGATAACCTCTTTGCCAAGAAATCTTCACTCATCTTTAAAATATCTTTATATGGGCCAGCTCTAAGAGTACTCTAAATTCACTGGCTTAAGCATCCCCCCTCTGTACACAAACTCAGAGCCTGTTTGTTCATTTCTGTGGTACCAATTAGTTGAACTATAGTTAATCTGCCTCCACTATTAACATGGGGAGCTTCTTAAGGACAAATTCACATTCGTACTCAGAACCCAATACAAAGTACCTGTTGAATAATGTATAGGAAAACACCATGCTTTCTACTTAGTTTTAATTTTGCATGGCACTGATCCTTCCTTGTTTTATCTTATTTTCACTAACAGCTGAAGTATAGAAAATAGGGTTTATACATGAATACAAGGGAAAATGAAATAAATGCCACTTTTTATATTTTTTTATTTTCTGAATTACTCTGACTTACGTGAAGAAGTCTACCTGTTTACAGAGAGATAGTACACTGGCCATGCTCAAATTACTGGATCATAATCTTAAAGCCAGAGGAGACTTCAGTCAATCTGTAGCCTAAATTCCTTGTTTTATGGGAGAAAAAAACTTTGGTTCATGGAGATTAAAAGGACTTGGTCACACTCAATGAGCTAATGTTAGTATCAGAACTGAAACTAGAATTCAGGCTTTCTAATTCCCAAGCCAATGATTTTTCACCCACATAAGCCATTTAAAATCATCAGAGTTTATTTAGCTCTCCTAGACAAGAATTAGTTCATCCGCCTCAGAAAGTTCTCAAAGCCTGACTGTCCCTAATGGGTCATTTTGCTTTCACATTCTTTTATTAGAGAAAACACCTAAGTAATAATCTGGATGCTGATGCTTTGGTTTTATTGTCACAAACTAGGAGTGGTCTTAATAGACTTGTCTTATCCTTCCTAATTAACTATTTTTGGAAAGACTGGCCTTAAATAGCTACTCTAAAATTAAAACGTGTTTCTTGAGATGGCAAGCATAATTTATTTACTTCATTGCCAACAATTCCGTGAAAGTTTGAACATTTTGTTACACAGGGTTATATTTTTCAACTTCTGAATGATAATTGGTATTTCAGAAAGATAATACTCCTCAAAATTATGTTTCATGAATATGTTGTTTTTCTGTGCCTATGGTAAATTGTTCCTTTCTACTTTGAAACATTTCCAGCCCAACCATCTTGACCATGTTTAGGAGGCATAGGATTTAGGGGTTTTCATCGTTGTACTAGTTAAGGCTTTTATGCAATAAGTGCTAGAAAACCCAGAGCATTCGCTCTTATGCAAAAGTGGCTCATATAATTCAAAAAATCCAAGAGTAGTTCAGGCTTGAGACACAGCTGCAGCGGGTCACATAGGACATAATCAGGACTTACTTCTGAATGTAACATTCTGCCTTCTCCTGACATGAGTGTCACATGGCTGTCAGCTCACGCACCACATCCTTAGTTAGCTTTAAGCCTCGTTCCAAAAAACCCTGGCAAAAGTATCTGACCATATATATATATATATATATATATATATTCTCCATCCCTGAAGCGATCATCAGGGCCATGGAGTAGGATGTACTGACCAGCTTAAACCTAGGTCACACAGTCTACCCCAAGTCAGATGTGGTCAGCTTCCCCAGAACGACGTGGACTAAGAGTTGGAAACAGAGTGGTTCCTCAGAGGGAAATCTCAGAGTGAAGTTAGCAGAGGTGGAATGAAGGAAGCAAAAATAACAGATGTCCATGCCACCCTCCCAAGAGTCACGCGCTAGAACTCTTGGCTTCCTGAGAAGAATCCTAACTGCCCTTGGGTCTCCTCCATGAAGCCAAATGAGAGAGAGCTAACTAGTAGCCTCCAGCCTGCAAAGAGGTAGTTCTTGGCCGACTTGCACGATGCTGGGATGTCCCCCTGGGTCTAGGCGTAGCCCTCTGCAACTTGTAACATCTGTAAACCTGTCTGGTTTGTTGGCTTGTTCACAAATGAGCAAGTTCACACATGTATTAGCATAAGCAAAAGTGTTACTTAGCTCCAGGGATTTGGGTACAGAGGTGTGGAGATCCACCAGGAGAGACTCAGCTAGCAGGAGAGTCTCTGTCATGTCTGTCTGAGGAACAAGGCCCATCTGTGCAGATGAGGAGTTGGGGAGGGCCTCAGCCCCGCCAGGTGCTTTCAAGATCGGATGATAGTGTGCTTCATTGTTCAAACAGGACACTTCTCTGACTGAAACGGGGTCCTCACTCTGCCAGACAAACTGGGGCATCTTTCTAGGCGTGAGATACCAGTGAAACTAGCATAATAATATTTATGGGAACATATTCCACATAAGGTATACAGTCCATGCTCAGAGTCTGTAGCTTTAGACAACTGTCCTGGTGGGTTCAGTGTCCCAGCCCACCTCAGAATATTTGTCATAGGGTTTATCATCAGGAGGTTTCCATCTGAATACCTCACAGTATCACCTTTCTTTCCAAGTTTATTTAAATCTCTACACCCAACGTGAGACAGGAATCACGACCCAAGGTCATGCGGTGCAGGCTTTCCTGACCAAGCCAGCAAGGTGCCCCCGCAGTATCATCTTAATGGGAGGATCCCTGTGAAAAATCATTACCTGATCTTAGTACCAGGAATTCCTCCTGAACCTGGATTTAACCTTCTGGACACTGCGTATGGTGAATCTGATCAGGTTGCTTTGTCTGCCTCGCCTGCTGAGAAGCTTGAAGAGAAATGTGCGGTCCACCAAAGCGAGTGTGCTGGTTGCTGTGGCCTGCCCGTGTAGCTTCATTCCACTCTGTCCTTGGGCTTCTTCCGTGTAACTCTTCCTTTACATGACCTTGTACCTTGGGTTTTCTTGTAAGTCACCTCAAGTTCCCTTAGTAAAAGATTCCCCAGTCCAACTGGCGACAGGGGTGGGGTGACCAGCTCTCCAGCTGTGACTTCTCCAGTGTTTCCAACGAATGCCGACCCTGCAGTCTGATTGGGTTGACCTTGCCACTGTTTGGATCTTTGATTCAAACAAATCAGCGGGGAGGAAACGAGACAACTGGATTTCAACACTATCTGATGATACTGGGAGATTTTCATTAAAGCTGTTTGGGTAGGATCATGGTGTTGTGGTTGTTTTTCAAAGTGAGTTGTTTCGTTTCGGTCTTTCACAGCTACGTACTGAAATATTTACAGCCCGGTTTGCAGTGGCTAAGTCTGACATTGGACATATAAGGAAATAATAATTCTCTCCCGGGAAGGGGCAACCAACATTTTTGAACCAAATAATCTGCCCTACTCACCCTCCCCTGTGCTGGGAGCAAGGCCAGTAACAGACATTATAAACAAAGACCCAGCTCACCCTATGCAGGTTGTCGGTCCTCAGACCTCATCTCGACCAGCTATGCCCTGGAATGATATGCCACTTCATCTGAGCTTCTGTTTCTTTGCTCGATTATTGGGAATAACAGCTGTCCCAGCCCGACCTTGTTGTGAGGGTCAAAGACACAACATAGGAAATGATCTAAATCTGCAAATGGTTTCAACCAACAGAACGTTTGTGTGAGGCTTAGGCCCAATTTGTTTAGAACCGGACATGAACCAGTTGTCTGGCCAGCTTCACAGCCCAGGTTAAGGCACGAACCTGGGAAATAACCAGCCTGTGGACCATGCAGCGCATGCATGAAAACCCACAGCCACAGGCATGTCACAGTCCAATGCCTCAGCAGCAGATGACACCCTCCCCCATGACAGATCACTCTTGCTTTGGCCAATTCAGGAGGAGGCCACCCTTTAATTCTCTTGCCCTGGTCTGTCTGTACACATGACACTG